AAGTGGAGGGGGAGGCAACTGGTGATACAGAGCTGGAGGTCAAAAGTAAAAAAGAAGTTGGGAGTTATTTGCGTATCGATGGTAGTGAGAGCTAGGGATTGGGTAAGGTCACTAACGAGTGAGTACAGGTAAAGAAGAAATGAGAGTCAAGGACTGGGTCCAGAGACACCTCTACCTTTAGTGGTAGAGAAAATGAAGAGCAGCCAGCCAAGAGGCTCTGAAGGAGATCAGTGAAGAGGACAGCTAAGGAGAGTGGTTTCCTGGAGGCCAAGACAAGTAGACTCTAGAAGGAAGGAGAGCTCTTCTGTGCCAAACGCTGTTAGGGCTGAGAAGGATCTCTTGGTTCTGGACTTGGCAGGGAAGTCATTGGTAACTTTGGTAAGACCAATGCCTGTGGAATGGTAACAAAGACAGCCCTATGGGAATGGATCTAAGAAAAAAATAAGGGCAAAAGAGGAATAGAAATAAATCTCATGGAGTTCTGTGATAAGAAAACAAAGAAACTAAAGTTTTCCTACAATTCCATTGCCATCCTTTACCAAACTAAATAAGATCCCTCCACTGTATATTTTTACTGTACACTGTATTTTTCCTTCAAAACAATAGTTTTTTTTACTCTATATTTTTTCTATGTGATTATTTGATTATTGACTAGATTATAAACTCTACTAGGGCAGAGACTGTTACCAGACTAAATTAAATACTTTTAGTAGAAATGCCTCTCCAATTGTATTCCAATTAACATTTTTAATGAGTATAAACTGATTAATCTTAAGGACAAAAGCAATTCTAATAACCATTCAGAATTAAACCTAAATTGCAAATTAATAGTTCTCAATTTTCATAATGCTATCAGTGTCTTCACCCAAGTCACGGGAATGTTGGGCAAAGCATATTTTTCAATAATCTGGTTGCAACCAATATAAATGAACTGTCCATCAAACAAGTGAAAAAGCATATACTAGTACATTAAGAAAATTAATTTCAAAAGAGAAAATCTACTTGCAACTTTTATGCTAGGGATAAAAGTTTCCTCCTATATTGTTATAATCATCCAAGTACCCAGAAAAACAGACAAAATTCTTTGGTGCTTTAAGAAAAAATGACAGATCTGATCAATCTTTTACTTTATAGAGGTTTAGCTTGAGGCCTCCACAGATTACAGAAGTCATACCTTAAACACTGTCCTTTCCTTCTCCTCTAAAGCAGACAAAAGAGACAATTCAATCTGTTTAATGACAGATTCTTCCTAATAAAGTGCAAAACAAAAACATACACATAAACATATATGAAAGCAATAGGCTTACCAGAAATATGAAAAGAATATCTCAAAGAAAATTCTTCCATGGCCCAACTGACATTGTATGTGAAAATCAGCATGACTAGAGGACACTGAGATTTTAATGAAGGTGAATTTCCTCCACACAATTTTCCTAGCCCAAACTAAAGAAAAAACAAGCATACACAAATTTACCACTTATCAAAGCAAAGGTTATTGAGCAAAGTAAGAGAAAAAAATCTTATTTTTGAAATTACGAATTTATGCCATATCCACTCCCAAGAATATAAAAATGAGAAAATTAAGCAAAAGAAAACCCAATTAGAATAGAGAGAAAGATATTCCAGACTCTTGAATCTAAGCATTTCTTAGGACAGCACTCTAAACCAACTAGAGCACAGGACCCAGTTCCTACAATGGCTAGAATAACCTAGGTAGATCTCTTTAAAGTGATGTATTATAAAAGAAGACGACATGGTCTAGCTAGGTCCTCAGAGAACTAAACAATTATTCTGTCACCACACTGAAATAAAATAATCATATATAGGGAGCATCCTTGAGCCTTAGCTACATACAATCTTCATTTATCCACGGCATAGCCAAATGAATAAGAGGCAAGGTGTGGCAACTGGCATGCTTTCTATGACAAACCATTTCTAGCTTTAAGTGATCATACATAGTATTTTTCTGAAATAAACATTCTAACAAAGGTAGTTTGCTCTAACATTCAATAGGATCAAGGTTTCAAGTCAACAATCCTAAGAATTAAGCTTTTCTCTCTTACAGGAAAAACTCTGCTTTCTTTAGTAAACAGATGTCCACGGGATCAACTTCAATGTGACAAGAAACAAAGTAAGAGATTTAATTTAGATTATACAGGAACTGACAGGTGAATATTCACTAACATTTCTTATCTGTGAAAAGAGGCTAATGGTTAATCCAGGGCTTTAGGTTCTCAAAATCATGTGGGTCAATAGTTTGTCATCTCTTGGGAAATGAACAAAATAAAAATCAAAAGCTTTGGAGACTCTGGTTTTAATTTGAAATGTAATCACAGCTGCATCAAAGGTATTGGGGCCTATAAACTTATTTTTACAGATTTGAACTTTTCTAATACTGATTTGTAAACATTCCCTATGTTATTTACCTTAAACCTTTCTCAAACCTGTTAAAAATCCCAAGTTTGTTACTTGTTTTTAAATTTTGTTTCTATTGAGGCAGAAAAGTTTTTAATTATATAGGAATTTGATAATTTCCTATTTCTCCTATTGCTTTTATATGAGAAGGTCTTTCTGCATCAAAAGTTAATTACCCGTTTTTTCTACTTTGTAGGAAAAATGCCTAACTCTTTAATTGGCTCTGGTACAAAGTTATGAAAAATATAATTTATATTTTCCTCTCTGATTTGTAATGCCAAATGTATCATCTGTAAATATCTTATACTTTCCCTTTTGTTCTATTTATTTCTACTCACGTGTGTCTCTGTGTATGTACTACTCTGTTTTAATTATCATTGTTTTAAAGTATGTTTTAATATCTGATAATTTATCTCATCACAAAAAAAAACAAAAACAAAAACAAAATCCTTTGGGGACTCTGGTTTTAACTTGAAATTTAATCAGGGCTGAGTCTCCCAAAACATTTTCAGTTAGTCCTATTTATTTTAAAGATAAATAGTTATTATTAGTTTCTATCTCACTCTCTGAAAAGAAAAATTCCCATGGGATTTTGCTGGGAAATACACTATGTTTATACATTAATTTGGTGAATTAATGTTAATTCTGTCTTCCAGTTTTAGAACATGGTACATTTCTCTGTTCATATCTTTATGCTTGGGTGTATGTGTGTAAAGTTTTATATCTGCACAATAAATCTCACATTTAATTTTAGGGTTATGTCAAAAAGAAAACCACGGGCCCAAAATGGAGTCACTTATGTGAGTCCACGTCACCAAACTGAGGCTTAATACCTAATCTAATTGCAGTTTCAACCTCCCCCAGAAATGCAGTCTGAACCAGTCAGTGGGGAATTTTCTGGTCAGTACCAATGAGATACAGTATCACACAGGCCCTCTCCATTCCCCAAAGGAAGAGGAGGTGATATGTATAAGAGCCCCTTTCTTTTCTTCTGCTAACCATCCTGCCCTCTTTCTATAAAATCCTTTCATTTTGTACAGCTCCTCAAAGCATCCCTCTACTTGCCAGATGGCATGCTGCTCGATGCTGGAGTCCCTTAATAAAGCCAGTTAGACCTTCAAATTTATTTGGTTAACTTTTGTTTAACAGTTATTCCTAGTTGTAGGTTTTTTGTCGCTAATTATAATTAAAATTAGTTTTCCATTACATCTTTTATTATTTTACTGTATGGTTTTAAGGATGTGGTTGCTGTATACTTAACCTATACCTATTTTTCCTCACATGGTAGTTTTATTATAAGTAGTACATTTTACAATATTAAACTATCCTTGCATTCTTGAGATAAATTATATTTGGTTACGTTTAAAATTGAGTAACCTATCGACCTCACGCATTGAATCAACTCCTGGAACTTGTATACCTCACTTGCAAAAATTGAAATTTTAGGAAGGAGATAGGAAATAGCACATATGTTTTATGAACATATTCTAAGAAAAACAGGTATATAGTTCATTAACATTAGAAAGTGTAACTAATACAGCTAACATACTCTTTCCCCTTTTTCCTTTATTTCTTTGTTCTTCCAAACTTTGTGTACTCTGACACCCCACTGATGGAGAGGCACTAGGGAAACAACCCTCTAATCTTTTCTTCTAAGCAACACAATTTTAAGAATCGGAATAAAAACATATATTTCTAATTCAAACATGACAGAAGTTTGCTTTCTTTTATATTACCGTGCATTCTCTCATTTAATTCTCAAAACAATCTCATTGGCAGTACCAGTAACAGACATCCTATAAGGCAAGAAAGGGAGAAGTGTAGATAATTTCCAAGGATACTAGAGGCAGATTCTGCATTCTCTCCACAAGAAGCTGAGGCCTCACGGATAGTATGTGGGCTCAGGAACCAGGAACTATCAGCATTTATTAACATTTCCTTAAGTAGAAACATGGAGATTTTTAGTGCGTCTACTTCTAGGATGGTAATGTAAGTCCAAAGAATAAAAGGATGGTGGTTTAGCAATTGGCTGTTTGATCAACTCTGGCAGGATCCTTTCTGCCGGAAGGAAGAGAGACATTGGCATCTGGGTCTCTCTTTGGGAGTCAAAGGTCAGCATCATGCCACACATCCTCTCCCTATGGGCAGCCATCTGGTTTCATCAGGTGTAGGTGTGCCTGACTAAGTAAATTAAGAATTTATAGCACACACGTGTGTGTGTGGTGGTAGAGCTAGGGGGTGTCTATTCTTGTCAATTACATAAAATGCTAAGATGGATCTTATTATTCTCTTGTCACAATTCAGGAAACAGAGTCTGAGAAAGCTTTGGGAACATTCCCCAAATCATTTAGCTACTATGTGGTAGAAGTGAGACTGGATCCAGCGCCATCAGGTTTCCATCTGGACTGCTATTATCACATCACATTGGGTAACATTGGTCAGCCAGTTCAAGCCCAATTTCATTCCCTTTGTCCCTAGTCATCTCCCAGTCGGGCCAAAGAGACTTAAATCTGCTATAGGATTCTTGGAAATGTGTTTGTTTTCTCGATGGTGTACTCCTTCTCTGTGTCCCTTCTCTTTTTCCTCTATGGAATGCCAAGAACTGAAATAGCCATTATGGAAACATTAGGGAAAGGCCAAGAGAACTGCCATACCTTCATCTTGACAGAGTTGAACTACTGAGTTTGTGGCACATCTGGAAAACTCTGGATTTTTCTTTCTTTCATAAAAATCAATTTAAGTCAATGTAATGAGGTTTCCAGCTACTAATTAATTAGCCCATTTAGTGCCCTTTCTGGTGGATATTATTTTGCCTGATTAATATTGTAGTCTCAATTTTTTTGTGTGTTACATTTGTCTAAAACTGCTTTATCCATTCTTTATTTTTAGTACTTCTGGGCAAGTTTAATCTAGGTATAACCCAAGTAAGCAGCACATAGTTGGGTTTTGTTTTTAACTCAATCTGAGAGAGTGTTAGTAAGGCTATTTCAGTATCACATAATTTACATCATCTGTAAGTCACATTGAATGCAAAAACATCTGGGAATATTTCATTAAAAAGTCAAGAGCATAGGGTGCCTGGGTGGCTCAGTTGGCTAAGCGACTGCCTTCGGCTCAGGTCATGATCCTGGAGTCCCGGGATCAAGTCCCACATCGGGCTCCCTGCTCGGCAGGGAGTCTGCTTCTCCCTCTGACCCAACCCCCTCTCATGCTCTCTATCTCTCTCTCTCTCATTCTCTCTCTCAAATAAATAAAATCTTTAAAAAATATCAAGAGCATAGTTCTTCATGGGATATTAGTTACCTATTAATTTTTTGCCTGATCCAAATCCTTCATAAACCCACATGTGACCCTGACAGGCCAAGGGCGTCGGCTTCATCTGGGAGTTGATAATATCAAGGCAAATGACATGCTGTAAAGGGGCTGATAACTTCCAGTGGCAGCTATCGCACAGATAAAAGGAAGTCCGGAATGATTTCCAAATAGCACATACTGTGATTAACTTCGTTCAGAATTTTATGCATAACTGTTATTGATGCTATCTGCTTCCTTGTGCTTGGGTGAAAGAAAGATTTTTTTACTTTAAATTGTAACAGTTAAAAATATTTCTAATAATTTGTTAAGAGTTTTAATTAAGTTCACCTGTCCTGGTGAATGGCTGGTCAATCACGCATAGTCTTCTAAATTCTGGTCGGCAAATTGTCTGAATTTGCCCCAAACTCCCTCAAATCACATAAGTCTACTCAGGATTGATATTATACAAATCTTCACTTTTCACTTCACACTTTAAATTTATTCTATTGTTTAATTCGAGGAAAGTTCTCTATTTTGGCAATTCAAGAACAATTAATTGAGTACCTAATATGTGCCAGAAGACCATCTACATACATTATTTCAAACTCTAAAACTGTTTTGATAGAGATTTGACTTTCTACTTGACCTAATAAATGATCTCTTTTGTGGAGGAAGTACACAATTTATCAACAGGGACAATCTTACATTCAGTTTTTGTATACTGAAGGCCTCAGACCAGGGATTACCTCAAAGTCTATTCTTCAAGGAGAGGAGGTGGAAAATAATGCCTGAAGCAAGGGTTGCTGCTAGTCAAGGGATCATTCACAAACTTCTTTCATCATAATAAACATTCCTTCTTCACCTCATAACGGTTCTGTGAGAGTATCTTGGGATCTGTATAATTCCTCCTGGTTTAGTCAGGATAACATCCTCCCAAGTTGCTGTACGTTCTTGGTTTGAACTCTGGAGAAGTTTGGGAGTTTTGCTGCCCTTTGGACCTAAAAATAAAGAAAAAAAAAAAGGCAATGAAAATAAAATTAATTTTTGAGAGGCTTATTATATGCCTTTTCAGATCAGAGAAGTCACTTTCCCTCCCTGTTTTAGAAAAAACGTTAACAGAAGTGGTTATTTTCACTGAAAAGTCTCTATCTGAATCATTCAGAGATACAGAGAACAGCAGTTCTCTCAGAATTGTCTCTGGCCTCAAGTCGACGGAAGATAATGTGGAAAAACTATAGATAATGCCAGTTCTTTGCACAATTTAATCTAAAAGCAACATTCTTATGGTATTTTTAGGAAAACGCTTTCATGTGATATGCACGCTTCTCTTTATTACTCACTGAACTTTTTTCCCCAAGTATATCTCTGCAACGCTTTTTGGTGCCAAGAAGAGAAATTAGCTTTCAGTTACTTATACTTAATGAAAGTCAAAAAGCCTTATTAAGGAACGCCTGGGTGGCTCAGTCGGTTAAGTGTCTGCCTTTGGCTCGGGTCATGATGATCCCAGGGTCCTGGGATCGAGTCCCGCATCAGGCTGCTTGCTCAGCAGGGAGCCTGCTTCACCCTCTGCCTGCTCCCCCCTGCTGTGTGCTCTCTCTGACAAATAAATAAATACATAAAATCTTAAAAAAAGCCTTATTAATTACTTGTTCTAAAATGCAATCTGATAAGTCTGAATTGCATAGCATTTACATTTACAATGGTAGCATCTAATATTTGTGTAGTTTAACTTAAAAACTCATTCTAACCTTTTATTGTTATAATATCACTATAAAGAAAACTTTAATACAGAGATAATAAATTATCCATAGCTAGTCAACCAGCTAACAGAATTCTTACATTCTAATCCACAGAATAGGCCATGTCTGTGGCATAAAATCACGTCACAATAAAAAATGTTGTCTCGAAATCAACATATCGGAGCCACATCCAGAAATCACAATTCTGGATGATTTACAAGTCAGTCAAGTTATCCACTGAGCAGTTTCTCTTCTGAATCTGACCAATTTCAGATCCCTTAAATAGATTTTCCTTTCAAACATAAACTCCCCACAGAAACACCATTTCTTACAAAACAATGTATATGTTTTGAAACAGCTCTAAAAAGAAAAACATTGATTTTTAACTTTATGAGTTTATAAAAGGATGAAGCATACCTTGGACTCTAAAGACAATATAACTTATGCCCAAAGCACCCTGCACAAGAGAATGAAATGCCACTCTCACCAGTGGTCCAGAGCTCATGAAAATCATTGGGTAAAGCCCTCTTCCACATAATTCACCTAGGTTTAAAAAATGAAATCTAGTAAAACACAAGAATTTAAAAAAAGTTTTAGCAGTTTCTCTGCTTAGGTATAGCAATTATTTTTAGTGAAATATCTTTGACATGTAACATTGTATAAATTTAGAGTGTACACCATGTTGATTTGATACATTTATGTATTGTAATAGGACTGCCATTCTAGTGATAGTTAGCTTCTATCACCTCTCATAATTGCCATTTCTTTTTTGTAGTGAAAATAATTAAGATCTAGTCCCTCAGCAAGTTTGATGATTATAATACAAATGTTGACTATATTCACTATAGTGTGCATTGGATCTCCAGGACTTGTCTACTAGTTAAAAGTTTATACCCATGAGGGAGGAATTTATTTCACTCTGCAAAATAAGGGAAACAGGGCTCCGGAACTCAAGTGACTCACCCAAAGTCAGACTGGTAGGGTGGGGACTCAGGATCTAAACCCAAGCCCATGAATCCAGTACTCATCGTAGTCTGCTGTGTCCTATTGATCCCTTGAAGGACAGTAGGAAGTAAATTATTTCATCTTTTTAAAATGATGCTGATATGCCATTTTTCTTCTAGTAAAGTAACCTACTTATTAAAAATACCACACTCTGAAAAATCTATGGTGGAAAAACTTCTACCTGAAAATTTATTCTATCTCTACAGTCAATCTTCTTTTGTTTGCTTTAGGTTGAGAACCTGAGTCAAAGCTGAAAGGGAAAATTATAACCATAATTCTAAAACAATTCAGAGGGCTGCTTAAGAAGGTGTGAAAAGAACCTGTGATCTTCTTAGGATCAAACTCCTCTACTCTTAATAAGTCACTATCATCCTACACCTGATCAGAAAGACATTTGCTGATTATACTACATTTGGCCGTATGACACCTACATCCCAGATTCTTCTCTTTCTTCCCACTTCATTTTCCCCATAGCTCATCTACCTAATACACTGCATATTTTATTTTCTTATTATGTGTCCACTCCCCAGTGGAATATAAGCTTGATAAGGGCAGGGATTTCTTTTGTCCATTTTGCTCACTACTGAATCCCAACAAACAAGAAGAGTGGGTCTCTAGTCCCCAGTAGATCCTCCTTACAAGTATTTGTGGAGCAAGAAAAGGAAGAGATTATATCTGAGAAGAAGAAAAGAACAAAATATATTAGATGGCATGACACATTAGGGTAAATGCTGTTGAAATATTATTATTACTTTTTAAAGATTGTATTTATTTATTTGACAGAGAGAGAGATAGTGAGAGCAGGAACACAAGCAGGGGGAGCGGGAGCGGGAGAAGCAGGCTTCCTTCCGAGCAGGGAGCCCCATGTGGGGCTCGATCCCAGAACTCTGGGATCATGACCTAAGCCGAAGGCAGATGCTTAATGACTGACCCACCCAGGTGCCCCAAAATATTATTTGAAAAATGATCAAATACTTATTTGTAACAAGTATAGATCAATGCAGCTGTTGAATGAGTGAGTTGCTGGCTCCCACAGGGTAAAAGATGGCATTTTACAGTATAGAAGAACACTATCTGGCTTGAATAAGGGGTAATACCTCCATTATGGTCTCGTAGTTCTCCTAGCTATCAACTAAAGAGATAGAACCATTCTACAAGGTTCAAGTTGACAATTTCAAATCAAATAAATGCTATGTTGGAAAATTATAGGGATTCTTCCGTTAATCCACAACATAGCCAACCATGGTTTTCAATAGGTTATAAAGATAAAGGTAAGTTTTCCCAGAAAATGTTTCTTTTTAGATGAGAATCTAGTATAGGATACAGTGCTACAAGTTGGAAAGAAAATCATTTTTTTCTTAAAGCAAAAGATACAACATCACTTTACCATATAAGGAAAAACATTTCAGCAGGATTAAAGAAGTTTGTAATTAAATTTTTTTCTTGAACTCAGATTGAACAATATTTAAAGAGCAATGAGATAAATCAAAGATCAAAGATGTTTATAGACAGATTTAAACAACTTTTTAAATGTTTACATCAACATATAATAAAGATTAAAGATGTGCCTGAGTGGCTCAGTTGGTTAAGCGTCCAACTTTTGGTTTTGGCTTAGGTCATGATCTCAGGGTCATGAAATCAAGCCCTGTGTCAAGCTTCATGCTTAGCGGGGAGTCTCCTCTCTCTCCCTTTCCATTCCTCTTTGCCCTTCCCCTCACTCACGAGCACTCTCTCTCTCAAATAAATAAATAAATAAATAAATAAAATCTTCAAAAAAATGAAAGGAAAATAGCAACTTTATGAATAAATACTTGCAACTTATGACAAAGGAAAATATATGTATAACAGCTTTTATAAACCAATAAAAATACTCAGAAAATGGATGATAGTGACAAGAAATAAAAAATACAAATAGCTAACATATGAAAAAAATTCATTAATGATTAAAAAAGTAAAAGTGCCTATCAAACTGATATTATTCAGTTATACTCATGGTGCAAGAGGCTCCCATTTTTGCTGATGGCAGTGAAAACTGATTTAGCTTTTCTGAAGAGTAATTTATCAGTATACACTTGTGAAAAAAATTATGCTATGTCTCTAGGCACGATTCTAATTTGGGAAGATACAGTAAGGGACAAAATAGCAAGATCCCTGCTTTCATGAATCTTTTATTTTAGCAGGTAAATAAAGAAGATGATTTCAAATAGAGATCAAGGCTACAAGTTGAAATGATCCACATAATATGATGAAAAAGACTTTGGGAGGGAATGAATGGCGCTATTTTAGACTGAGAAGTCCTCTTTGAGGAGGTGACCTATCATTCATTCACTCACTCATTGAGTGCCTTCTAAGTCTCACATACTATTCTAAACCCTGGAGAGTCTTCAAATGAGGAGACGGAAGTTTTAGCCCTCCGAAAGCTCACATTCAATAGAGAAAACACAAACCACAACCATGAATAAAAGTCATAATGTTGGAAAATAGTAAGTGCTAAAGAAAAGGGCGAGGCACGAAGAACTACCCAGCCAGGAGGTGATGCAGTTGACAGCAATTAAGGTAGGCCTCGTTAAGAAGGTGATATCTAGTCAAGCCTTGAGGGAGGTGAGGGACAGGTCGAGAAGGAGCTCTCTGAAGAGCTAGGTCGAGGAGCGGGACAAGGGCCCTGAGGTGAGAATGACAGCTCCTGATCATGTGAGTCAGGGAGGGGGACGCAAGGTCGTGCTTGGGATTTTGAATTTTATTCCAGCTACAAGAAGACCTGGAGCTGTTTTAATCAAGGTAGATGGGGAAGGCCTTCTGATCGCAGGAGAAAAATGTACAAAGTGAATAGGCCAGATTATTAATAGCTTCGTTCCACAGTCTAAGTGAGACAGTATTTTTTAAAAAGATTTTACTTATTTGAGAGAGAGAGAGAACATGAGAGCAGGTGGAGGGGCAGACAGAGAGGCAGACTCCCTGCTGAGCAGGGAGCCCGGGACTCAATCCCGGGACCCTGGGATCATGACAAGGCAGATGCTTAACCAACTGAGCCACCCAGGTGCCCCTAAATGAGACAGTATTTATAAAGATTCTTTAAATAAATGTTTATGTCCTCTAACTCAATGGTTTAATCTCAGAATTTATCCCAAGAACACAATCTCCCCCTCAAGAGCACCTCCCTGGCCTCCATACACTCCCGAATCCAGCACACACACACTGACATGTTATTAGCAAATATTTTTAATTCTTCCAATGTAAAAGCCTTTAATATATTTTGCTTTATTTTAAAATCCAACACCCACCCCCCATCTGATTTTTAACCATCTTAACTCCTCTATCGGATACATTTCAGGCATCCTGGCATGGTTCTGGTATGCTTGAAGAACTTGAGCTCTCACACACTCACACTCAACCTCTAGTACACCTGTTTTGTAAATTCAAGTTTTGAAACTATTAAGTGTGCCTAAAAGAAAGAAAGAAAGAAAGAAAGAAAGCACAGAAAGAAAGACAAAGAAAGAAAGACAGAAAGACAGACAGAAAGACAGAAAGACAGAAAGACAGACAGAAAGAAAGACAGAAAGACAGAAAGACAGAAAGACAGAAAGACAGACAGACAGACAGACAGAAAGAAAGAAAGAAAGAAAGAAAGAAAGAAAGAAAGAAAGAAAGAAAGAAAGGCATGCCTATTACATGAATCAACACTTTGGTGATAGTGGTACCCAAGTCAAGCTCTCTCGTGATTGTAAGCTGCCTATACAGAAAAGGCTCTCAGCACAGGGTTGAAATGCCAGCAAGAATTACCTGACACCCTTCTCTCATCATGGCTTTCTTCGTAAATAGTCATAACTGAATCTGGACACACAGGAGACCAAGGCAGTGACAGGTACTCAACTGTCAATTTTGCCATACTGTTCGGGGACACTCTGAGCACCCAAGAACATTCCAGTTCTCCTCTATAATCCAGTGGATATCCTGGAGTTGAGAAAAAGCCTCTGGGCTCTTCTAGTTCCACCTCAGAGTAACAACCTACAATTCAGAGCACACAGACACCAGGGACCAACATGAACAAAGCAAAGCACGGATCTAACACAAACTTGAAAAATTTAGGCTTGCAAGAAGAAAATTAAAACTTTATTACTCTCTGTTACATGTCCTTGGGTAAAAATGATCATCCCATTTAATGTGTCCTATTTTCTTGAAATGAGGTTGTAAGAGTAGAATTTAAATTATCATTATTTAAAATTTTTCACTGAATCTTTTAAATGCCTTAGGAGATGCACAGTGGGAATGCACTCTCTACTTCCCGCATGCTTTCATTTCCTTCCTTCTTTGAGATGCTACTGAAGGTCTGTTCCTAAAAGCTTCACTAATTTCACTGAGCATTTATCTTGCTGGGACAAATGATTACATTCGTGGAATTCATGACTGAGATAAAAAAAAAGGAGGATGTGCTGCATACATTTGAATGTCTCTCACTTCTTCCACTTGCTCTTAAGTCCAAGGGCACCTTTGGACCTGCAAGGCTACCTGCAGAGCTTCAGATGCCAGGGTCTCTCTGGTCCACTGGCCCTGCAGTTAGCTGCTGTTCCTTCAGCTTACACCCTCAACTCCTCCTCCTTCCCCTCTGTGTATTCCCTCGACAAAAATCCTCTGAGCAATTACAAATTGAAATACTCTGTATTCAAATGAACACATTTTAATGTCTGAGTATGAATTAATACATGCATTATTATATATGCTTTGCCATAGAGCAATTAACGACCTCAGGTGACACATACATAAATATACTTTCATGAAGAGTAGAAATGAAGAGTGGCAGAAGGTGAAGAAGGGAAATGAAATGTTGTAAGAATTCAGGATTCTATTCAATTGCCTAGTCCTGTTACCTCTTTGCAAATTCTCTCTTTCATTTAGATGGCTACTATAATCTAATTTAGATATTTATAGATCTACTTTGATTTAACTGTAACCTAACTGATTTCCCAGTCTCTAATCTTCCCCCACACTGTGCCCTCCAATCTGGGATAGCATATGAAACAAGAGAATTAAATTCTTTCCTTGCTCAAAACAACTGAAATTGTGAGTCTGGGCCCAAATGTCTTTTCAATCATTTTTTTCCTGTCCCCATGAATCCTCTATGACAAATCTGCCTAGAAAATGAACCAAATCATGTAAAGTCATGAACTCCCAACCAGTCACTTCTTTTTATAAATGGGCTAACAATCCTCATGTGTAAAAAGCCAGTGATGGGAGTGGGTGGATGCTAAAGATAGAGGATAGTCCCAACATTTTCTCTTATAGAATATTCCCAGAATTAAAACAAAACAATACCCTTTCTCATGTGAAACTTGCAAAGTTCTTTGGCATTCACATGTATTTCTGAACATACACAAATGAGAAACATTTCCAGTTACACTATTAAAATGGTGTTCAGGGCACCTGGGTGGCTCAGTCGGTTAGGCGACTGCCTTCGGCTCAGGTCATGATCCTGGAGTCCCGGGATCGAGTACTGCATCGGGCTCCCTGCTCAGCGGGGAGTCTGCTTCTCCCTCCAACCCTATCCCCTCTCATGTGCTCTCTCTATCTCTCATTCTCGCTCTCTCAAATAAATAAATAAAAATCTTAAAAAAGAGTGTTCATTTTCTATAGCCCGAATGGAATAGCAATTCAATGAATACATTAGTTGGTCACTGCTGGCCACCACTTGTTGACTATTGTCATTCATCATGCCATCTCTATTTTAAGTGCTTGACATGAATTCACTTACTTATGCACTAATTAAAATTGTTCATTTAATTCAAATCATCGAAATCATTAGGTTTTAAGATCTTGGACCTAAGTCTGCGCTCCATCTCAACCCCAATTCCAGATTCACTTTTAATCAAATAGGACCCTTTGATTCTTATGTTTTCAGACCATACCACCCACAAATGGTCCCCAAATTACCCCTTCTTATTCCTAGATTTTAGCAGTCATTTTCTCCAACACTATTTCTGCCACAAATCCTGCTGAATTTCAGTAGCCATAGAGATGATGAGCCCATCACTGAGGCTTCTCAATTTCTCAACTTCCTTCCAATGATCTTGTTCTCCACCCGACTTCAGCCACCCACCCCTGCAGGGAACCCCTCAGGACCTGGCCCCCAGCAGTAACACCAAGCCTTCCATAGCTCCATTTCAGGCACTGCTGTCTCCATCCACAATCTTCCATCTTCTCAGCTCCCTCCAATGCTCCTTTCACCTTTTGAGACTTGCTAGTCATCTATCCAACCACCTGTTCTTTGTCCCTAACTCATCTCTCACCCTCATTCACTCTTTTCCTAGCTTAAATTCCAACAATACATCATTTTAATCCCTTCCTCTTACATGCTTTCAATACCCTTATAATCTTGTGTACTTGGGAAAACCCATTCTGATTGAATCTACCTTCTATCTGTTCTGCATCCAGGTGCTACCCCTCAGTGTCTCCAGAAGAAAACATACAACTAAGCTAACTGGTCAGTCTCCCTCTAAATTTGTGATCATTAATCTCAGAGGCTTTTATGTTGCCCAGCAATCTTCCCAGTTGTCTACTGGCCTTGACGTATGTGAGGTGGATGGGGGCAGAGATGGGTGAGAACGAAGAGGCTGTGGCCACCTGGAAACCAAGAATGATGGCATCATAGAATGTTCATCTCCCTACAGGTCTATTACAGACTTCTAATTCTCCAGTTGCAGCTTGATCTTAACAAAAAATAAAAAATCCCATTAGCAAACAGACACTGACAATTGTGGGGGAATCATGAGTGACTAACACTGACGCTGATTGTGGTTCTCTCATATCCAGAGTCCTCACCTAGCGAGATACCTGAAAATCTAAGGACCTTTGTTTATGTAGGAATAAATGGATCAGAGGTCAGAATAATTCTATGTACTCCTCCACAATTCAAGCATTTCACAATGACAAGATTTTTTTTTTTTTTTAACCTACAATGGCTATATCTGTGGGGGTAGAAAAGAAACCCAGACGGTCACAGTAACAACACTCCCCTTCTTCAGTTTAAACTACCAGCCAGAATGAAAACACAGGGCTTATCCCATTCCAAAGAAAATTAGCGAACCCAGACATGCCACGCTTTTGCTAAATTCTTACTAGCTGCATTAAGCGGATAACACAAACATCTATTACCTGGTCCAGATGCATTGTCTGTTGAGGGTGTGGGTGGTGGCAACTGTTGTCTTGGTAAGATTTTGCTTTCATTATTTATCTGAAGTGAAGCAGGACCTGCACCTGGAGAGACCATATTAAAAATAAATAAAGATGAAAACCTCGAAACAAAATGTAGTCTATACCAAAACAGCTTTTGTCAAAAGAAAATGCAAATCTAGGATTACAGCAGCCTCAGGAAAAGTCAGTTTTACTCTCACTCTGCCCAAGGGAGAACATATTCTTACAGAATTTTAATGAGCATTTTAATGTTTTAGAAACTAAAATAAATGAAATACTACTCTGTTTTTTTCCTTTCATAATGCTGATTTCTACCACACTCACTTCTCACAAACCTACTCTAAAGAAAGAGGAATTGTCTTCATAATATCTGAAAAATATTTACCTTTGATTTTGGATTGGATCCAGTCCAAGAAGACACTCGCCCTGGCAAATACACCTGGCTTCCTTGGCTGGGCACAGCCAGCCCCCAGCCGGCAATGCCATACAGGACAAAGGGACCTTTTTCATGTCTACATACCAATGGGCCACCAGAGTCTCCCTGAAAGATCAAGAAAATGTGTTCTAAAAATTAATCAGAGCTCCTGCTTTCAATTTTGGAACAGGAATAATCAATAATTTATTCGTAACACATTTCTTTAATTTAAAAATATTAATACTTTGTCAATTCATATACCTTAGAGTACTTAAACTCAAATAAATAAAATCACAAAGATATTACAACTGATACCACAGAAATACAAAGAATCATGGGACTACTATGAATAATTACACACCAAAAAATTGGATAACCTGGAAGAAATAAATTCCTAGAAACATACAAACTGCCAAGACCAAATCATGAGGAAACAGAGAATCAGAACAGACCAATATGAGCAAGGAGATTGAATCACTACTCCAAAAACATCTCAATAAAGAAAAGCTCAGGACCAGATGGCTTCACTGGTGAATTCTACTAAACATTTAAAGAATTAACTTCATTCCTCAAACTCTTCCCAAAAATTGAAGAGGAGGGAACACTCTAAAACTCATTAGATAAGGTCAGAATTACCCTGATACCAAAGCCAGATAAGGACATCACAAGAAAAGAAAACTAGAGGCCAATATCCCTGATGAACATAGATGTAAAAATCCTCAACAAAATACTAGCAAACTAAACTCAACAGCACATTAAAAGGATCATACGCTATGATCAAGTGGGATTTATTCCAGTGATACAAGGCTAGTTCAACATACACAAATCAATGAATATGATACACCACATTAATGGAATGAAAGTTTAAAATTCATATTATTGTCTGAATAGTAAATGTATTTGACAAAGTGCAGCATCCTCTCATGATAAAAACTCTTAACAAATTGGATATAGACAGAACATATCTCAACATAATAAAGGTCATATCTAACAAACCCATAGCTAACATCATACTCAATAGTGACAAGTTGAAAGCTTTTCCTGTAAGATCAGAAACAAAACAAGGGTGCCCACTCTCACCATTCCTATTCAATATAGTATTGGAAGTCTTAGCCAGGGCAATCAGGCAAGAAAAAGAAATAAAAAGAAAGAAGGAGTAAATCAAGAAGGGAGAAGTAAAATTGTCTTTATTTGTAGATGATATGGTCTAAGAAAATCCTAAAGACTCCATCAAAAAACTGTCAGAACTAAAAACAAAACAAAAAAGCTGTTAGAACTAATCAATGAGTACTGTTAAGTTTCAGGATACAAAGCAAACATACAGAAACCAGTTGTGTCTTTATACACTAACAAAAAAAATATATGAAAAAGAAATAAACAGGATTAAGGAAGGCATTTGTGATGAGCACCAGGTGTTGTATGTAAGTACTGAATCACTAAATTTTACACCTGATACTAATATCACACTGTAGGTTAACTGGAATTTAGATAAAAACTTGAAAAATAGAATAAAAAATAAAGAAAACAATCCTATATACAAAAGCACCAAAAAATAAAATACTTAGGAATAAAGTTAACCAAAAAGGTGAATGGTCTCTATACTAAAAACTGTAAGACTTTGATGAAATTGATGAAGACAAATATGGAAAACATAATCCCATGTTCACAGATCAGAAGAATCAATATTGTGTCCATACTCTACAAAGCCACCTATAGATTCAACGCAGTCCATTTCAAAATTCCAATTGCATTTTTCATAGAAATAGGAAAAACAACCCTAAAATTCATATGGGCCCCCCCAAAGACCCTAAATAGCCAAAGCAATCCTGAGAAAGAACAAAGCTGGAGGCATCACCTTTCCTGATTTCAAAATATGTTACAAATCTGTAATAGTCAACACAGCATGTACTGACATAAAAACAGACACATAGACAACTGGGCTAGAATCATGAGCCCAGAAAAACCCTCACATATACAGTCAACTAATATTTGACAAAGGAGCAAAGAATACTCAATGGGGAAAGGATAATCTCTTCAACAAATGATGTTGGGAAAACTGGACAACCATAAGCAGAAGAATGGAACTGAACCCTATTTTATAACACTCACAAAAAAATTAACTTGAAACAGATTAAAGGTTTAAATATAAGGCTACAAACTGTAGAACTCCTAGAAGAAAACACAAGGGTGGGGGGGAGAAAACACAGGGAAAAAGCTCCCTGACATTGATTGGTCTTGGCAACAATTTTTTTTTGGGGGGGGTGGATATGAAACCAAAAGCACAAGCAACAAAAGAAAGAATCAATTAAGTGGAACCACATGAAACTAAAATGCTTCTACACATCAGAAGAAACAATCAGCAAAATGGAAAGGCAAGCTATGGGATGGGAGAAAATGTTTGCAAACCACATATGTGATAAAGGGTTAATATCCAAAATATATAAACAACTCATACAAATTGATAACAAAAACGATGCAACCTAAAAAATGGGCGAAGGATCTGAATAGACATTTTTCCAAAGAAGACATACAGATGGGTACAGGTACATGAAAAGATGCTCAACTTCACTGATCATCAGGGAAATACAAATCAAAACTGTAATGAGATACCACTTCACATTTGTTAGAATAGGTATCAGAAAGACATAAAAAATGCTGGCAAGGATGTGGAAAAAGGAGAACCCTTTTGCACTGTTGGTAAGAATGTAGATTGGTGCATCACTATGGACAATAAAATAAACGTTCCTTAAAAAATTTAAAATTGGGCGCCTGGATGGCTCAGTTGGATAAGCGACTGCCTTCGGCTCAGGTCATGATCCCAGAGTCCCGGGATCGAGTCCCACATCAGGCTCCTTGCTGAGCAGGTAGCCTGCTTCTCCCTCTGACCCTCCCCCCTTCTCATGTGCTCTCTCTCTCTCTCTCATTCTCGCTCTCTCAAATAAATAAATCTTTAAAAAAATTTTAAAAAAATTAAAAATTGACTACTATTTGATCCACTTCTGGGTATATACCCAAAGGGAATAAAAACAGGTTATCAAAGAGGTATCTGCACTCCCATATATATTGCAGCTTTATTCACTATAGCAGAAATATGAAAACAACCTATTTTTCTGCCACAGGATGGATAAAAAATATAACATATATATTACTCAGCCATGAGAATAAAAGGAATCCTTCCATTTGTGACAACATGGATGGTCTTGAGGACATTGTGCTAAGTGAAAAGTCAGACAGCAAAAGACAAATATTATATGATATCACTTATTCATGGAATCTAAAAAAGCTGAACTCAGAGAAACAGAGTAGAAGGACAGTTACCAGAGGCTGGGGGAGGGTGGGGAAAATGGGGGCGATCTTGGTCAAAAGGTACAAATTTCCAGTTATAAGGTGGACGATTCTGGGGATCTAATGTACAACATGGTTACTATGGCCAACAATACTATATTAGATATTTAAAAGTTGCTAAGAAAGTAATCTTAAGTACTCTTACCACAAGAAAGAAATGGTAATTATATGAGGTGATGGAGGTGTAGACTAACTCTACTGTGGTAAGCATTCACAATATACAAGTGCATCAAATCACTACACTGTATATCTGAAACTTACACAATGTTATATGTCAATTATAGCTCAATAGATCTGTAAAAAAAAAAAAGCCTTAAAGCATAGGATTTGCCTTTTAAAGTAACCTTTCTGATTTTCAATCTGCCCCTTTTTTCTTTGACAGAAATGTACTTAGACTCAAACTAAATCCTTTGTCTTCTGATAAAATAAACTGAGCTTACGATATATTTGATGTGGCTGTTTATTTTTTTAATGTTTTTTTAATTTTTTAAAATGTTTTATTTATTTATTCATAAGAGTCAGAGAGAGAGAGAGAGAGAGGCAGAGGCAGAGGGAGAAGCAGGCTCCCTGCCCAGCAGGGAGCCCGATGCGGGGCTCGATCCCAGGACCCCGGGACCATGACCCGAGCTGAAGGCAGACGCTCAACCATCTGAGCCACCCAGGTGCCCCGATGTGGCTGTTTATTTTATATGAAGAATTTCACATAAGAAATCCTAACGTGGGAAATAAAATAACGTGGGAATAGGGAGATAGATTCCCTTGTCTGTAATGTAGAACAATTAACATTTTTTCTGGGCCTAATTTTTTTTTCCATATGAAATAAGGTTATACTTTAAGACCTCTTCCCAGTTTGTAAGTGGTCTGATGTATCAAGTCAGGTTTGTTTTTTCTTTAAATTACTTATTCATTCAGTACCAACACGTACCAAATAAAGAATTTTTCTTGCAATTACAAACATTTCATGATTCAGAAAGAGCCTAATTCATCTACTATTGCCAGGGTCTATCACAGGGCCTAGCATGTGGTAAATATTCAATAAGCAAATTATACCTATTTATTTTTAAAGAATTATTCAGTGCCTACTGTGAGCTAGGCATTTTGAGCAAGACAAAGTATAAACAAATTAGATGGTGATAATAGCTCTAAAGAAAATATTTAGAGCAAAAAGCAGAGAATAAAGGGAGGTAGTTGTGTGTGCTTACACGCTCGTGTAAGTGTATGTAGTTTCAATAACATTTGATCTGATACATGAAAGATGAGAAGGAGCTGGGTTTTCTAAAGCCAGGAGGAATAGCATTTTATGCAGAACTGATATCTGGGCTAAGGCTCCAAATTAGGGGATGTAGTGACTTGTATGGTCAGAAAATAATCAGTGTGGCTGAAATATATAAGCAAGAGGAGAGAAGTATGAAATAGATCGCAAAAGTCAGCATGAACAGGACATACACTACTCTGTGAAGACAGAGATCACCCTGTAGGTCAAAGAATTTGACATTTTAAAAACAATCTTGGATGTGTTGTGAGCAAAGCAGCATAGGATTCTGCACTGCATCTCTGAAACTCCATCTCTGCATTCCAACATTCTACTTCACCTTCCTGGGTGAGAAATTACATTAGCAGGTCCATTACTTCTGAGCACACAAAGGAGGGTAAAAATCAACTACCTGATAGAAATACTAGAGTCCACTTTATCAAAGTTTCTGAAGTCACCTTGTTAGTAATTCAGTGTTCTTTAGCTAGACACATTTATTAGCCAGAATCTCAACTCCTATTTTCCTCCCTTCGTATTGGCAGCAAATTTGGTTGTGCTGCAAGGGATGTAGTTGAAATAAATGCCCACCAAGATCATACCTCTGTCATGGACCTAATTCCTTCCCTAATTCCCCTCTGCTCTCTTCATACAGAGTAAGGTGTTCCCTTAATGTCAGACGCTGTCAAACATGACAGAGACAACAGAGCCATCTATGATTTCCTTGATTCGAAGCAGAGAGAAAAACCATCCCTCAAAAGGGGAGGAATGACCACATTAATTCAGAGCACTTTTCTATTTGATATTTATAGTATAGCATTTATGTCCTTTAGCAGATGGTGTGAGGGCCCTTCCTAGATTCCTCAAGTCTTCCAGGCCACATCCTGGCTCTGTGCCTGAGGGCTCTTCCCCTCCCCCACCCCATCCACGAGGCACACCTCGTGAAGAGTGGAAAGTGCAAAGGGACCAACAGACCCCTCCCCTCCAGCAGCCCTTGAACCATGACTTTGGGGAAGTAGTATATAAATATCCCAGCTCCCTCACCCCTGGGATGGGACAAATACGTTGCATATATTTTGCACTGCTGCCAGATTCAGCTCAGTCCCCCCACTGTGGTAGCTGACTTCATAGCACATCTCGCATTTCCTGCCTTCCCTTCCCTAGACCACCCCCCTGACTTTCCTACCAGCGATGACTGCACTTCCTAAGCAGACCACTGTACTTGAATCTTTGTCTCAAGGTCAGCTTCTGGGGAACGGAAATTCAAATAAAGAAAACAGAGTTTGAGTAGTGCTTGACACCAGGAAAGGGTTTAATCACCATAAACAGACACTCAGTGTTAAGAGGGGACCTCCTTCCTTCTCTCCTCACATGCTCACACGGAAGGACTTCTACCTAGATTAACACCCAGTTTTCTCCATGGGTTCTTAGTTCTTGATTAAGGGGAAAACGATCAAAAAGCAGCACAGACTAGATTCATCCTTTCTTCCCTCTGTATTCCAGACCGGTAGGAGATGATAAACTCGGAGAAGGGCATCTGCCCCGAAGACCCAAACGTTTCCATCAGTAGGCTGCCTCAAATCCAGACTAACTCTTGAAGGAGGGTTACAGAGCATCAGAGACCCTTTTTGGTTGTGTATCTAAGGTCATATTCCTCACTTGGCTTTGTGCATATGAAAGCTGGTGTTTTACGATCCATTCTGTCTTCCCCTTGCCTGATTTGAACTTGTTAGTAGCACGCCTGTCCAACTGACACGTGAATATAACTATACCACTTTTGCCTCTAAATATCTGAAATTGAACTACTGTTTTGGGATTTATTTTCCACTGCATATGCAAACCAGTTTTTCAAAGTTTCTCGTTTTCTTTATGATTATTTTATTTTAATCTGTAGTAGAAAATTAAATGTGAGCACAGAGGAGATTAATATTAATTTAAAAACAATAAAAACCTTAAGTCATCAGTAGGATACACCCACTTAGAATCCTTCTTTGCTTGTTCCTCTTTTCCCAAAGCCTTGCGTCTCTCTGAGGCCCTACGTGCTCATGGTCTCCTAGTCGCCACCTGCTCTTCTGCCCCTAGGCTGCTCCCGCCCTCTCAGCAGGTTTGGAGTAAAGCATTCACTCTTCCTGTTGTCCCACTGGCCTTCCGGGAAGGGCGTGCCGTGGGGCTACCAGGTTACCTGTGCCTCTGAGTGTCTCCTCCTGTCTAAGGAGAATCTCCAGCAGATGACGACCTTGGATCTTCCTCTGCAAAAATCAGAGTCTTCTCACCTGACAGAAATCCTTCCCTCCAGAGTCTGCAAAGCCAGCACACATCATCTTCTCCGTGAGCCCTCCTGGGTGAGAGGAGTAAGTACGTTCGCTCCCCTCGCTTTCCAACATGGACACCTGAATCTGCTGGAGGTGCCTTGTTAAGCTGCCATCTGCTGAAGAAACAGATCCAGAAAGACAGCTTCATAATAAGTAAATAACAAATTATGTGACAAAACATATTTAAGTTCAGACTTGCTCTGCACTACTATATTTGCCTTCACTCAGGTTCGCCTGAGCTGATGAGGAATACTGAACCAAACAATATAAGTGTCTCATACGGGATATCTTCATTTTCAAGTGTGACATCTTCGTAAAAGAATACATTGTCAGGAGAACGACACCAGAAACATTTTTTTTCTAGCTTATTTTTTATTCAAAATTTAGTGTTTCAAATATCGCTACATGAGAATTCAGAAAGAAAAATTCAGCAAGATATGAGTTGGTATTGTACAGGATTTATGTGATTATATGTTTTTACATAGTATATTTATATATAAAATATATTATGTGACATGTTTATATGATTTCCTAATATAAACCAAAATCATATTCCTTTTTCCTTAATCGTCACTGAGACTAATCTCAATTCCAATTTACAAGGACCAACAGTGAAGGCCGTAAGGCTAACAATGAGCACTAAAACACTCATAACTGACCCTCAGGCAGGCCCATGTTAACATGTATTCTGTGCAACTCATTCTATCATTTTGGATTCCTGACTAACTAAAAAAAAAAGAGCTAAGATTAGTACTAGAAATTACCTTACATTTATATAGTACGTTCATATAACTCCAACCCAATAATATAACATCGTGAGGTGGGTTGTTTGCATACACGATCACACGGAACTCACTCACGAAAAAGTCGGAGCTCCCAAAATCTGATCTCACAGCACCCGTGGGACAGAACTAGCCATTAAGCCAAGACCGGACTCTAAAGTTTGTGCTCGTTTTAATGTACGTACCCATCTAATACATAAATACATTTAAGGCATTTAAAATCCTCTTTTTAGGGACCATCTCCACCCCCATTCTTTACCATGTCTTAAAGAACTCATTTTCTCTCAGATTGGAAGAATGAATTCATCTTCCACAAGACTGTAACCACCTCTCAGTTGCCTGGTGGTCATGGAGGTGGTGACAGTTGAGGGTATCAGAGAATGGGTACATTTATTCAAGGGCTTGGAAGCCAGTAAGAAAATATTTGCTGAGTGTTTATTCTATGCCAAGTAAACCTGTAGCTCTGGGGCAGAGTGGTGAATTAGAGACCTGCTGTCACGAGGTTTCCACTTTAATGCATGAGACCTGGAGAATGATGTTTTTTCTTTTTTAAAGATTTTTAAAATTTATTTATTTGAGAGAGTGTGTGAGCAAGAGCGTGTGAGTGGGGGCGGCAGGGCAGAGGAATAGAGAGAGAGAAAGAGAATCTCAAGCAGACTCCCCACCGAGTGCAGAGCTCAATATGGGGCTCAATCCCAGGACCCTGAGATCATGACCTGAGCCAAAACCAAGAGTCAGCCGCTTCACCGACTGCGCCACCCAGGCGTCCTGGAGCATGTCAAGTACATTTGTGTGTGAGGAGATGATAAAACTGGGTCATGCAGAGAGTGATGGACGGGCAGTCCTGAAGCAGCAAAGTGATGGAGGAGGGAGTGCTGTTTGAGCTGCAAGCAGAATGAGGAGGCAGCTGGGAGAAGAGCAAAGGTGTTCCAAGCTTCAGAAAGCAGAACAGATCTTGTGTTTAAGAGAAAGAAAGAAGACCACAATGCCTGAAGGGGACAAGGGAAGAAAAGAAGTTGGAGAGGTCAGTGGAGGCCAAATCACATAGAGTTTTCCAAGCCAGACTAGCAGTTCAGATTTTATTCTAAATGTAAAAAAAAAAAAAAAAAAAAAAGCCATTCGAAGATTATCAGCAGAACCAGGCTAATTTTAAATCCTAGCTTTGATATTTATTAGTTATGGGATCTTGGCAAGTTACTTAAATCTTTGAGCCATAATGTCCTCATTTACAACATGGGGAGGATAAAATCTCCTCATGTGGTGTTGTGCACATTTTAGGAAAATGCAGTTTGGGGCGCCTGGGTGGCTCAGTCATAAAGAGTCTGCCTTCGGCTCAGGTCATGATCCTGGAGTCGCGGGCTCCCTGCTTGGCGAGGAGTTTGCTTCTCCCTCTCCCACTCCCCCTGCTTGTGTTCCTGCTCTCACTGTGTCTCTGTCAAATAAATAAATAAATTCTTTAAAAAAAAAAAAAGAAATGCAATTTGGCCACAGGTCGTACAGAAAGCTATGATCATGTACACTATACACAAAGATAAACTCCCCTCTCCCTAAGCTCACAGATTCCAAATAAAGGACACAGAAACAGAAGGAAAACATAAAAGAAAATGATGTTATACAGTGAAAAGAGGCAAAACGCAAACATGAACCCATTCAGATCTGTCAGTATGTTGCTATGGCTCTAAGAACTCTACCGACCAGCCCAGGGGTCAGCAAACCACAGCCAGGGGGCCAGTTCTGTGCCATCCCTGGGCTTATCTAGTACAATCTGGGAACTCGTTTGGTTTGTACACTTTATTTTTTATTTTTTTTAAGATTTTATTTATTTGACAGAGAGAGAGACACAGCGAGAGAGGGATGACTCTCCCGCTGATCAGGGAGCCCGACGTGGGGCTCGATCCCAGGACCCTGGGATCATGACCTGAGCCGAAGTCAGTCGCTTAACCAACTGAGCCAGCCAGGCGCCCCTGGTTTGCACACTTTTAAATGGTTTTTTTTTTTAAATCCAAAAGAATATTTTTTGACACATGAACAATATATGAAATTTAAGTTTCATCTGGAACACAATCCTTTCTGTTACATTCGTATGTCTGTGGCTGATTTGCACCATAACAGCAGAACTGAATAGTCGAGACAGAGAACATATGGCTTGCAAAGACGAAAAGACTTATGATTTGGCCCTTCCCAGATCTAACCTACCTATAATTAGTCACCCTAATTATAGGCTGATCCCTTACAACTAAATCAAACATGGGTTCTAGCTTTCAGAAGGCAGAAGGGCTAAAGCAGATACCGCTGGATATCATCTCTGTGCCAAATCTGCAAAATTAACAACTGGCCGTCATGTGTGTGCAAAAGCAAAAACGTTTACTTTCACTAACGCTTCCCAATCCAGTCACAGCACAGATCTCCGAGGAAAGGAGCGGCTCCGTGCTTTGTGGGAGACACACCGGCCTCACCACGGAGTTGAACTTCAGAGGAGAGGTCAGCTGTATCAGGGCGATGTCCGAGTCAGCACTCCGTCTATCAAAGTCTTCGTGCACCACGATGCGTTTTACCCTCCTCACCTGGATCAGTGGCGAGGAAGCCAATTACGAGATGGCGTCAATGAGTCAAACTACTTCCTTGCATAATCGTCCAAAATAAACCTTAAATCTCTATATTTCCATACATCAGCAACGAAGGTGATTCTGTACTGAATTTAAAAGGGCAATCCCTGTTTATAATTTGCAGGAGGCCATGAACCGCTGAGGATTGGCAGTTCTGGAGAAACCAGGCTATGTGCACCTGTGTACACAGACCTGAATTGGCACATCCTGACCTACCTCCCTTAATTCTCTGATTAAACTGTGATCTCAGATTTTATCTTTTAATGTTGGTATAAATAGTAAGTGTAAAGGGGCACTAGGAGATGAATACTTAATTATGTATTTTAGCTAAAGGCATACCCCGGCATGTGACAACACTTAGAACACCAGCAGAATTGTCCTTAGAAACATTTCTCACCTGCCCAGTTGGTTCCTTCAGGGTTCTGTCATGGTCCCCAGCAACAATGGTCCAGAAGAGAGGATTATTTTTCCTGGAGAAAGAACAAGGACAAAAGTTTGACATGAAGAGACATTTTTCACCATTTGATCTAACCCCATGTGGCTCTACCAACAGGCACTGAGTTTAGTTCAGCCAGATGTCCTACCCACTCCCCTGTCAGGTGCCTTTGTGTGATCCCCTTGCTGGGAAGGTACACACCTCCTGAGCTACCTGAAGAGTTCTTAGTTATGTATCCTGCCACCTTCTTTTGGCCATAAAATGTCTTTGGAGCCCCTACCAAATATCACCAAAGGCTAGTTTTAAGTTGAGAAGGAAAAAAAAAAGTACAGCTTACTTTAATTTCACAGTCATGTTAAGAACACACGAAAAAAAGGGGCGCCTGGGTGGCTCAGTCAGTTAAGCATCCAACTTCAGCTCAAGTTATGATCTCAGGGTCCTGGGATTGAGCCCCACATTGGGCTCCCCCCTCAGGGGGGAGACTTCTTATCCTTCTCCCTCTCCCCCACCAACTCATGCCCTCTCTCTCTCTCCTTCTCTCAAATAAATAAAATCTTAAAAAAAAGAATATATGAAAAAAACCCTACATTCAAAATGAGGTAGCTTCTGGCCTATGTTTTACTGTTCAAAGTATCCAAACATTATCTTACTGGAATACATCTCAAGTTGTTATCTTTTATCAAACCACCAGAACTAATAGAACGGAGGTTTAAAAAAAAAATGTATCAGTTAACAAAACAGGTAAAACTCACCCATGGTGTTACTTTGGGAGTGGGGGGGAGCCGATGATTGCAAGAAGCAGAAGGAGGCTGCTGGGTGTTGGCACTATTTTGTTTCGTGATGTGGGCGCTGGTTCCAGGGGTACTCCCTGTGTGCAAATTCTTCTAACTATAAACCTGAGATTTGCACACTTTTGATGTACTTCAAATGGATGTTTAAAAAAAAAAACTGAAATCAACATCCATCAATCTGCCACATCAAGATTTCCAGCTGAAGAAATATCTGAGGAAAGAGTCCCTCAATTGTCAGAGATATTCTGTCTCCTCAGCTTGAAGATTCTTTAATTTTTCAAACCTGTTTCCTTAGAAAAAATAAAGTTACTGAAAATATTTTTCAGTGCACTTTATTCATAGAAGTTTCTTAATACATGTAGGCTTCTTCTCTTTAGTCGTAACCATGCTCATTTCAATTCCTTGCATGAGGACTCTGACTTATTCATGTGTTTCAATATGCCTTTATTAAGGGAGCCTACTCAGGTAAACTACTTGGCAAGTACCTTGCAGATGGTAATGACTCCGTAATGGTAGCCATTATTGCTGTTATTATCTGCCATGCACTCTAACAGAAGGATTAAACTTTATTTTCAAAGTCACCCTCTAAATTATTACTTGGTAGTAAAGAAACTTATTTCTTTAGTTTAGTAGCCACTCTACTCCTTTATATAGAGGATGGTGTGCACAATAAATTGAAATAATAAAAATCATGGTAGAGTTGATAAGGCAGATCATAACTTTAGTGAAATTGTAGGTGCACAGTCATCAAATATCCTTTAATCTGGTAGAGAGCACTGTGTAAAAAGCATATGACAGAGCAACACACATGTTATGAGGCAACAAAGCCTGAGTTTTTCCAATAGTGGGATGATAGCTCAAAGTAGCAAGTGGTAGGTTTCTCCATCCTATCTGGCCCCTTGCTCACAACCAAGTTTCATTTCTTATATCCTTAGGGTCTTATCCCCCATCCAACAATGGGACATCCAACATGGGACACTTCTGTTTGGGAGAAGAAAGGATCACTGCTGAACTACAGGAAAAAAGTAGCTGAAATTGAAAAAAATTAGGTTTGAGACAAAGATTCCAACGTATAACTGCAAAGTGAATTTAGTCCTCTGAAGGGAGTTAAAAATCCCAAATGAGCACAAAGACCAATGTGGAACAGCAAAAGAACAACACCAGTTTTCCCTAAATTTGGGAACTGATTACAAACACAAAATCCTCAGGCCCCATGTCAGACTTACAGATTCAGAAAACTTCCAGGTGATTCTGGTATATGCTAAAGTTTGAGAACTAATATTAAGAGCAACCAGTGCCAGGCAAGTCATGGGAGGTGGTACAATGTTGCTGTTGGTTATCCTTTACGTCTTTGGAGTGCTACCCAACAACGTCAGATAGCCTGGCACCTAGTCACCTTCAGCAAAAATGATGTCTACCTCAGCTCCCAGACCTCGCATGTCTCCCCAGCTGGCTTATCCCACATGGCGAACTTCCCTTATCAATGGATTTGGATATGCGGAAGCCCCTTTCAATGGAGGATGGAGGCCTGATGTCTACCAGGTCAATGAGGAAGAGGCCAGGAGAAACAAGTCCATGAAGGAAGGAGTTGCAGAGTCCCCACAAAGGCAGGGCATGAGTGGAACATCCTGCTTTTGTTACTCTGGCCTATCAAACACTTCTGGTGTAAAGAGCCATACGCTGCAAGGAATGGCTTCAAAAAGACATTTCTTTTGGTGAAAGAAGTTAGGCAACTACAAAGAAGAGTTAAAAAATGGGTCCCAAAGACATTTTCCATATCACTGTAAAGAGAAAGCACAATGTCTTGTGCAAAAAAAAATCATTAAAAAAATATGTGGTATATAAAAATACTATATATGCCTGTGTGCTTAAATGTTAGTGGAAAATCTGATAATTAAGACATTCTTAATATTGATCACTTCTAAAGAGGAGGAATGGATTCATGAAATGGAGACAGTTTAGATTTTTCTTGATAACTTTCTTAACTGCGTATTCCCACAAGCATTACTATTATAAAAATCTTTTATTTTTTTTAAGATTTTTATTTATTTATTTGACAGAGAAAGTGAGGGAGCACAAGCAGGGGGAGAGGCAGAGGGAGAGGGAGAAGCAGACTCTCCACTGAGCAGGGAGCCTGACGTGGGGCTCTATCCCAGGACCCTGAGATCATGACCTGAGCCAAAGACAGACGCTTAAATGACTGAGCCACCCGGGTACCCCATAAAAATCTTTTTTTTTTTAAAGAAATCAAGAAATCACTGATGAAATTGCATACAAATTCCTTTTGTGGTCAACTTAAATGGTTCACAAACTTTTACGGCTGACTGTATTTAATAATCTCAACTGACTCATCAAGTTGAATATCCACCTTAAGAATAGACGATTCTATTTGACAAGGGAATCTGCCAAAACTTCTTCTGTGCCTCAAGCTTCATTACTAATATTTGTCTTCTCCAATACATTATTTTTTACTAATTAATCAGCTACTATTGAGGCTTCTTTTCCATGATACATAAAAATGAATTCTGACAGAATTACTATAAAGTGGGCATCTCCAAGGGAGGGAAGGCCTAGAGTGAATGACATGGTATTAGACTGAGTTGGAAACATCCACATGAACTCATGTTAAGCTTAATGTAGATACAGAAAGAAGGTTTATAAAATGGATTCATGTGCATGGCTATATTTTCTAGTTCTGTCTGCTGAGAGGACCTAGTACAGTAACACCCTGGGAGCAACTAGTACACCAGCCACTGAGATCTTAATTTCTCATACCATTCTCCAATAAAATAAACCAGGGCTAATTGGAGAAATGACTGATTCCAGGACTGAGCAGAGAACATGTAAGATAAACCTGGATCATTCTTTAGTGTCACAAATGGACACACACAAAAGACACTGAAAGAGCAGACACTGGTCAAACCTGTAACAATTTGAGCAACAGAATGTTAGTATTTTATGTAGCATTATGTAGTATTTTAAAATAAATATCCCCGAGTCCATACTGATATAAACAAATTATTTGACAAATAGAGAAGAGACATATCTCCCATACAGGAAAATTTCCAACAATTTATATAAATACTCTCCACTCAAGGAGGTGGAGCTTATACCCAGCGTCTCAAGTGTTGTCCACACTAAGTGACTTGCTTCGAAAGGGTAAGTGTGGAAAGGAGGAAAATGTAACTTTATGATGGAGACACTTGGCAAATACCACCTCAGCCAGTACTCAAGGTTAACATCATCAGTGATAAGTCATGTTGATAACACATAACCTTAAAATGATATAATAAGAATGGCATATTACCGATGTGGTTTTCCTCCTCCAAAACCATAATCCCAGTAAAACCATGAGGAAATATCAGACAAACTCCAATTGAGGGACCTTCTACAAAATAACAGATGAGTACTCCTCAAAACTGGGAAGATCATCAAAAACAAGGCAAGTCTGTGATACTCAGAGCCAAGAGGAGCCTTAATGTGACATGCTGACTAAATGTAATATGGTATCCTGACTGGCAAAGGCAACAACAACCACAACAACATCTGGAGACAGGAGCAAGTGTAGTGTGTTTGAAGAATGGGGCTGGTCCACTATGAGCAAGCACAGCAGTGGTCCAGTTGGAGTCAGATAGACAGGAAGTGGTTCTTGATCATGGCTGTACTTTGGAATCATCTGAGGAGTTAAAAAACAAAAAATAAAAAAAACCAGCATCCAGGACTCACCAACAGGTGACTGACTTAGGTAGTCTGGACTGAAAATGAGTTAATTACAGTTACACAGTCATGTGGTTTATCTATATAACATGAGGATAAAAGCAAGACACAAAAAATATAAACTACCATTCTTTTACATTATCAAAACCAAGAAACATCAAACAATATGCTTGTTTTAGGGATTCACAGATGTTAAAATAAAAAAAAGGAAAGGCATCATAAATACAAAATTTACATAATGTCTACCTCTTGGTAGGGGCACTAAAAGGGTCTTAAGTGTAAAGATTCTTCCTAAACTGAATGGCAGGGATACATATGTACCTTTACTATTCTTTAGACTACATATATTATGTACATTTTTTCATATCATGGCATAATTCATAATTTGAAAACACTGAAAAAGTTAACCAAAATTTTAGTTCTCTAGTAGTCTGGTGATGAAGGTGGTAGATTATTCTATTGTGCTCTCCACGGTTGTGAACCACATTTTAAGAAAGACAACACTAAATTAATCCATGGGAAGTTGCACTGCATGGTGAGGCATCTGGAATTACTGACAAACAATATAACGGTGAGCATTTAGCTTAAAGATGAAATTAAAGGACAATGTGAGAGAGGTCTTCAGGTATAGGAAGCACTGTATGTGAAAGAAGAAACAGACTTAGTTCTTGTGTTCTGGAACTCCAGTAAATTTAGAACAACAGCTTTCTGCTACAGAGAAGCAGACTTGTAACCAACATAATAATCAGAGATTGCCATAAATGGGATGAGCAATTTCAAGGTTTGATTAACAATTTCCACGCTGACATTGTTTAAGTAGAGGCTAGATTGCTATGTAGAAAATCACTGCAAGATTCCTGCTTTAAAATTATTCCGGATGACTTTAGTAGTTAGACAATTATACTTATATGCTAGGCACGGTCTATAAATACATGTGTAAACTACATTATTAAAATATCATCAGTTTCACTCACGATTGCACACAGTGGGCTGCAGTCAGAATCCAAGTGGGGTTGAGGATGGCCCCTCCACACTGGTGACTACCTAGAAACCTCACACCCACCTGCCATGGCCAGCAGTGGGGGCAGGCTTCTTCGCCCTCTACAATTCTTCTGGAAAGCCACTGGAGACTAAATGGAGGGATGCCACAGATGCCTACAGCAAAGAAGATGAAACTAATGACCCATCCAACTGAAATAATGAAGAACAAACACCTCCCTCCAATGGCTTGCAACAGCCAACAGAAGTAATTCAGAAATACCAGATGAGCTTTATAAAAATGTCAACTCCCAAGACCCCACATCTGAGGAACTGGATTTTAAAAGCTTGCCTAAGTGACTATGCTAAGCAATTGGGTTTTTAGTTATTGGTCTACAGAATAATATTTAGTCATGCATTTAATAAATATTTTAGTGCTTGGTATTGCCAGGTACTGTTCTAGATATTGGTGTTTTAGATATTGGTAATCTATCAGTGAACAAAACAGACAGGCCTGAAGTGTGAAATCATTTAGTCAATGAATATTATGACCCTTAGCACAATACCTTATCTATAGCATCCTGTCAATTTGTGAAGAGATAATTTTCCTTACCACTGGCCTATGCTAGAGACCAAGGTCTATATCGGCTCTAGAGACTCTCTATCAAGATGCTTAACATGTTTCAATTAAAGTTATTAATTATGCTTACAGTTTATAAGAGGTATTCCATAAATGACCTGAAATGATCTACTGTCATGAGAGAAAAGATTATAAAACAATGTGAAGTTCAGTGTGTGCAGTTAATACATATAAATGAACACACAGCACCTCAGAATGGCAACAGCACTTATCTGTAGGTGGCAGGGTTATTAACAGTTTACATTTTCTGCCATTCACTCATCTGTCTTTACCAAATTTGGCAAACATGCACCCACTTTTGTGATAAAAAAACAAAAAAGTAGACATTGCCTTGAAAGGAAATTTCAGAGAGTCATGAGATCAATGTTATTGAACTTGAGAAGGGAATAGAGAAAGCTCAGTACATATGCCGGTCATTGGTTCCTCTCCTACGACACGCACCCAACCCCTTCCAGAAAGGGACGGTATGGAAGATGTCCTAGGGGCAGAAATCTAACTTCAGGTCCCTCTGCACATCTTTGGTTGTTTACATACTCTAACATGACAAGTAAAAATAAATGTAACATACGTACTAATAAGCACTCCACTGCTTGATTGTAAAGATATATAGTCATGGTCACATCCAACTTGATTTTGTATGTCCAAGCTTGTAAATTTTATCAGGATAATTTTATCTTCTGGTACCATTATTCTCCACATACATAAGCTAGATAGAGGAAGGTGGAGAAAGCATAATAAATGGCACAGTCGAGTGTGACAAATAAGATCCAGTATCTGGGCTTTAGCTCATAACTCACCAATAACAAAATTTTAAAGGTTATTAGGAGATAAAAGGCAATGGAAATCCTTATGTGAGAATAATTTGTTTATGCTCAAATTGCTGGCATTTATCCAACAAATAAAGGGGTCAGAGAATCACTAGAAACCACCCTTTAACTTTAATTCAGTTATAAAATGCTAGAATTTTGATCTATACATCGAAAAACCTAAGATTCATCTCTTTGTTTTAAGTTAATAGTCTAATTGAAAATTCATAATGTTCACCCAGAAGTTGAATTATGGATCATGAATTATGGATTGACTATGCTGCATATGTTAACTCTAACCAGTCACATCCTCCAAGGTCAGCCTGGGTCACGGGGCCTGCGGTTGCCATGTCATCTCTCTAACTCCTGGTAAGGTCAGCTGTGACCTTTTATTAACATCCTTAGAAACCTGTCTAAACATCCTGAAAGTAGTCTTACATAATTTAACACATAATCCTCTACCTTTATTTTCCTTCATGAATTCGTATTATTAAAGAAAAGAAAGCCCAGCAGACCATAAATCCTTAGTGTCTTCCATGTCTCACATTCATCTGAGTGCAAAGCAATCGTGCCTGGAATCTAACACATCAGAACAAACTTCTAAAACTTGACAGTCTTTATCAACCACCTTAGACCTGTTAACACTCTCACTGCCCTCAAAGAATACTGTTCAGGACCGCAGGAGTTATCAACTTCCTAATGCCCAGTTTCTAAAGACCAAACGCAATAATTCTTACTAAATATCTCCTCCCTAACCAGAAACTCCCTGCTTTGCTTTTTCAAGTCCATCATCTTGAACATTGATGTAAAAAAAGGCTGCCTAAAATATTATTAAAAATCACTCTTTAAGCACTTCAATTTAGAAAGCAATAAGCTGTCTAGATTATAAAGCTCACTTTTTTTTTTAGGCACTTCAACTGAGAAGGCACTCCACACCTATCATCGTTCTTGACATTCATTATACCCCTCTGAAGTGGGCAGGGAGAAAGTACTCCCCCTCCTCCAAATAAGAAAACTGTTGTGATATTAAAAGACTCATCACACCTCACACATAGTAGGAAATACACTTTGGGTTTTATGGCTTCAAAGGCAAGTACTTTCTCCTGTTCATCCAATTTTCTACTTCAAAACCTCTACCTTAGAGATAGAAAACAGATTTCAAATCACCTGATTTATTGTTAGTGATTGCTGTGTTAAAAAGGATTCTGAGGTCTAGTCAAGTTAAGTGAGAGAGGGGGACCAAAAATAAGCATAGATTTACCCATTCAAATATTTATTGAGCATTATTATATGCCAGGCACTGTTCTAGGCTCTAAGAAATGCAATGTCTCTCATGGGCCTGGAAGGAGGGAGACCACCTGAGTGTCGTGTATCTGCCATGTCTGAGAATTTAGGTACCGCCTAGCAGAATAAAGATAAGCTTGGAGAAACTATAACTCTTTGCTCCTGCTTCACATTATCTGTTTCTACCTTACCTTTAATTAACTCCATCTGGAATTAATCCTTCTACCATTCTCAAGGCTGCTTAGCATAATGGAGAAATCACTAAGTATGCAAATTGACTCCATATCTTATTACATTTCTAAAGCACATTTTTCCCCCACATTTGAACATTCTAAAAATCAGAAGGATCTTACAATGGAGTCTTACAGTTCTGTTAGACTGAGATGGAAACAATTCTTCCAGAAAGAAATTATCTTTGGTCAGTCACCTAGGAGCACTATCAACTGCATGCTACTTAATTTTTCTGCATGAGGTGTTTCAGACTATACTGGTGGTGGACATTTTGGACATTTTGGACCTGCATAAGTATTAGTCTGTGATTCAAATTCTCAGAGAAGATTTTTACCCCTCCCTATACCCAGTGTCAAAGTTGAGGCATGTAACTTTTCATGTGGGTGGGCCTATGCCTTGTTTAGCCTTACACTGAAGGTATAGCCTTTGCTGTCCTCTCTTTATATGGAAATCTCCTAATCTTGGGTATTTTCTATTTCTTTATTAATACATAAAATAACAATGAATTCTACAACCAGTTTGTTCTAGATGTACTGAAATACAGTATAAACTCATGCTAATACTGTGTTGTAAAGTTGCTGAAAGTCTTCTTATTCATCTCTTGTTGACTCATTTTTAGCCCTTACATGCGATTACAAATCTTAACTACTTAATCTCAACTTCATCCTCTAAACTCAAAGCAACTAAAACCTTATAAGTACTAAGAAGATATCTAGTGTAAATTTATTTAACTTTCCTATAAGTAACCTGAAATTTTTTTGTTGCTTTCCCAGGAAAGTAATTATTCATTTTTTTTCAAAGCTAAACCTTCTTTATTTGTTGTGTTCTCATGAAACTTCCTTCATGTATTTATACATTTCTCTTGACTCATCTCCCTCTCTCTTCTCCTCATAAGCACAGTTAAGCCTAACCCATCCCTCCCCCAAACAAAACAAAAAAACCCTGCTTCTCTCAAAACCTGTCCTACTACCCAAAACCACAGCCCCATCTTCCTCTTTCCCTTCACTGTTAACTGTCTTTCTCATCGAAAACAATGGCAGCTCCATCCCTCCAACAGGTCAAAAACCTTCACGTTAATCATAACGTTCTCTCTCTTATAACGCACATTTTCAACTCACTATCAAATCCTGTGGATCTACCACTTTTCACTACCTCTACTGTTACAAACCTGGTCCCAAGCCACCATGCTTCCTTGGACTATTGCAGTAACTAGTCTTTCAGCTCTTGGTCTTTCCTATCTAATGTCTATTTTCAAAACAACAGCCAAAGTGATCCTTTTTAACTGTGTCAGATCATGTTCCTCATCTGCTCAACATCCTCCAATGGCTACACATCTTACTGTAAAATCCAATGACCTTATGTCCTGTAAGTTTGATCATGCCAACCACGACCACGTACCCCCCCTCACTTAACTCTAGCACTCTGATCCAACTGTTCCCCAAACATACCAAAAGTTTTCCTCCCTCAAACATGCCATTCCTTCTGCAAAGAATGTTCCTTCCCAAGGTGACCCATATGATTCCCTCCCTCATCTTCTTCACGTCTTTGCTCAAATATCATCTTTCTAGTGAGGTTTTCCCTGACTACCTTCTCTAATATTGCACAACTATCCCTGTGTTTTTCTGCATAGCCCTTACCACTTACTTTTATTTATAACATGATTTGTATTACCCCCTTCTCCATTTTCCACCTTGCCCCACAAAGGAAGTATTTTTGTCCATTTCATTCACTGCTGTATTTCTAGCACCTAAAACAGTGCCTGACACATCTTAAAGCTTTGATAAAAATGTTTTGACTACTTGGTGAAGGAAAGATACCAACTCTTCAACAATTGCTTAGCCAATTATGAACATAGCTCCTGATCCTACAATCCTACTGAATTAGCCGCTAAATTTTGAACTGCCATATCCAATGGCATTTTATCTGACCTCATTTTGACTTCTGCGATATCTAACACTAATAACAACCCCTTTTGCCTTGAAAGTCTTTCTTGCAGAAATCTCTTCAATACTTCATTGTCTAAGTTGAATTGCAAGTTTTCTGTGTTTGAGGGTAAACTGGCTGCCATCTGCAATCTCTTAACCTAATGTATCAATGCTTTCTAGAACTTCACCCATAGCCATCCATGCTCTTCTCAAATACCTACTTATAAAGGAAATTCATTACTCCTGAGGAAGGCCAGTAAGTCTCAGAGATCTCTCAAGTTAGAAACTACTTTATTTGGGGGCGCCTGGGTGGCTCAGTTGGTTAAGCGACTGCCTTCGGCTCAGGTCATGATCCTGGAGTCCCGGGATCGAGTCCCACATCGGGCTCCCTGCTCAGCAGGGAGTCTGCTTCTCCCTCTGGCCCTCTTCCCTCCCGTGCTCTCTCTCTCTCATTCTCTCTCTCTCAAATAAATAAATAAAATCTTTAAAAAAAAAAAAGAAACTACTTTATTTGGATTGAAATCTGCTTCCTCCTAATATCTGTAGTGGCTCCTCAGATTAAGTTCTTTCCTCGTCTCAAGTCTTCTTTGAATCAGAACCACTCCTGCTTCCTTCTACCATATCTCCCAAGATATTGTTTCAAATTTCTCCCCATCTTAGCCATTATCCTTCAGATAATTTCAAGCTTATCAATGTCCCTCTTTAAAGATTGTACCTGGAGACCCCTCCCGACTACCCCTGCCCAGGACGCTAATAAAATAGGACTCTCACTCTCACTCTAGATGCTATTTTTCTAAAAGTTTAAGAAAAGATGGCAAAGGCCTAATTGGTATTATATTATTAGTAGGTTGATGCACAGAAAGTCAACTTAGACTTTTAAGCCATTTAAATATGGGCTTCAATTAAGCCATATCATTCCCTCTCTATACTTATAACAAGTATTTACAGTCATGATACATTCATTTTATAAATTATAATCTTGCCACCATTTTAGCTTCCCATCACCTATGGCAAAAAGTCTAAGCTTCTTCTCATGGAATTTAAGGTGCTCTACAATTAAGACCTAACCAGCCTTTTTATCTTCATTGTCTACTGCTACACTAGTTCTGTTTATGCTAAGATTGCTATCCAGCTCCCCTGCGATACACATTGTCCAAAAAACTGTAATAATCTCCACCTCCCTGACATTGCTTGCACATAATTCCCTCTGCCTGGCATGATCTGTTGAAATCTCCTAGGTGCTAGAGTTACAAAAAACTTCATGAGCTACAAAACTGTAACTGTCCCCCAATGCCTCGTTTCAAAACCGCCCCCTTCACTAACGCATTCCTACCCCTTCTCTCTCAACCATACTATGTATGAACACACACACTGGACAAACCACTGCAATTGGAATTAGTCTCTGCATTTTCCATAATACCACCTTACACCTGGGTAGTGTGGATTATAAAGCTTATTTGATCATGTTTTACAGTATAGTTCTTTTTATCCAGCTCTTTCTTCTTTCCAGATTATAAACTCACAGAACTGTGATCTAACCTTTGCATATCTTTCAATGCTCATACAAGATTTAAAGTTAATTTACAACAGTTGAGGAAGTGAAGTACTTGCAAAACTTATTTCTAAAGCTTAAAGATATCTTTAGCCATAGAGGGGACAGGTTACGTAGAAAAAAATTAAAGACATTGAAGTTATTTTCCATCTTCTAGGCAACACTTAACAAAATATTACCATTATTACAGAAATAAGTAGGAAAGGATTAATCACTAAATTCCCATAACAATCTCACTACCAGATGCTGTTAATGTTGGATATTTGAATACACCAATTCAGGCAAGCCCCAGTCTTAATACTACTCGTGTTGACGGTTTGTATTAGTGGATATCAGAAATATCAGTCAGCAAATACTTGCCAACCAGAAAATATCAGATGAAACATATAGACTTTTATGTTAATCAGGTTGAGAAATTGAGATACTAGATAAAATTGCCAAAAAATGGCTCTTAAAGATTTTGGGGGGAACCCAAGAATCATTCCTACCTTGGATACATACTAATTATGAGAACAGCTGTCCTCTTTGGAATGGGGGTAATGAATCTTCCCTTTTTCTCCAAATAACACTGTTCCCTGAGATCTACAAGCTTTCAAAATGTAGGAAAAAGCTGATTATTTACCTCAGCTATGAACAGAATTTCAAGACCTATGGTACACAGTCAGATTGAAGCTGTGTAATTTATATAATTTACATTTATGGGAATGCATGTTTTTAGATGCTATGACCTCAGACTTCACTGAGCAAATTTCTAAATCATAATGTTCTTTTCTTTATCTAAGTTCTTCAGATTTAACATTTCTTTATCCAGTTTTCAAAATCATGAGTCACGTTGAGGCTTCAAATTTATAGCATATAGAAGTAATATGGCTTTTTCCTCCATCTCTCACTAGAATATCCTGGGTTGTAATAAAATACCTGTGTAGAAAAATACTAAAGTAAAAGCACACAAATTTTAGCAATGATGTGGCAGGTCTCTATCATGCACTCAGAAACTTCAGATTCCAGTGTCACATTTTAATTGTTGAAAGCTAGAAAAAAATAAGCAATTTATGGGATGAGAAGCTTAGAAAAACGAGGTTAAGTGTTATTTAAATAAATTGTCACATTCTGCTATTCATTTGACTGTGAAATTAACTGTTACTGGATGATTTCATTGCCTTCTTAAAATATGGTTATCATTAACCTCTGTTCAGGGCTTGTTAATCTTTTTAACCTTCTCTTCCAGGTGATGAAAACTGAAAAGAATAGCTACCAGGAGAGAATTTCCCTGTGCAGTAATGACAATGAACAGAACACTTTCACTCTGATGCCCAAATGAGAGTGAGTGGTGAGCCTGCTCTAGTCAGAGGTAGCTCTGGTGTTCAGCTGAACCAGTCATGGTGGTGCTTCTCGAATCATCAGCGAGGTGGCTGATCGTGGACTACAGTGAGGGAGTGCTGTGGGATGGAGAGAACACTAGGTTCTGATGCTCTGGGTCCTGGCCTTGAAAAAATCTGGTTCTTGTACTAAACTGCTTGTTCTTGTAAGTTATGTATCCTCACACCTCTCTACTCCGCAGAGGCTGCCCCCTGGGCATTTCTTGCATCGATGCTGCCCCTTTGCATGGCACACCTTCTGGTCCCTTGGGACTGAGCTCCTCAGATCTCTCCTCGGTGCTTTGACAGCTCTTGGAGCTTATCCACACTTTACGTTTTGTCACATCGGTCAGTTTACTCCGTTGTCTTCCCAAATAACAGGAAAGTTCCTTGTGGACAGGTTTGGCATCTCTTGACCCACATTTGTTTTCCTAATCTAGATTTTAGCGCTGCAAAACAAAAATAACTCTCCAAAGCCTCCCTTATTGTCCCCACTGTTGCCAAGTAAAATTAACAAAGGTGAATGGGAGAAATGGGAGAGGAGAAATGTATTTTTAGTGCTCTAAACTAGTGTAGAGGAAAAAGATATGTCAACTGGATAAATGAAGAAAGAGTCCTTTCTCAATGGTTATTTTTTAAATCTTATAAATTCAAAAAAATGACCCACATCTCATAAAAATCTATATGAACATAAACTTGAAGATCCAGGTTATGTCCAAGTTTAGTTCAAGTTAAATTGAAAGATACCAGTTCTCATGAACTTAGAGATTTAAGTTCATATACATTGGATTAGGAATTGAAAATCGACATATTTGTGCTTTTAGAGCCAATTCTATTATATCTGCAACCTATCAGAGTAACTACCCTTGAAATAAGCATGATCAATTTTTGATTTAGAATGAAAGGGTGAATTCACAGAAATTACACCTACCTGTGAATATGTTCTGAGTGATAAAATCCATCAACTCAAACACCTTGGAGAATATGCCCAGTGATGCCCTTCTGTGGTTTGTTCTTAAAGAAGTCCAATCTCTAGTCCACGCATCTCTCCAGGAAGTTATCCCAGCAAGGACCCAGATTCCACTGTCTCTTCTACAAACGGACCTCCAGAGTCTCCCTTTCATAGGACAGAAAAAAACTTGAAAATACTCACAAGTTAAAAATATTGTAGTAGGCCCACAAACAACAGTACTCATCTCAAAGAGAGAAGCCGTAGAGGCATAGATGCTCACTGGTTACTGTCCAACAATTTTTGGGAGGGCCATCTTTTTGTCTCTTCACCGTTAGTTTCAGGGTACAGTCTTTTTGCCTAGAGGTAACTACCTTCCAATCACTGCCTGCAATCTTGTCAAGCTAACGCTTAATTTCTCTCTTGCCCCTATTGGTTTGGAGAACAACCATGTACATTCCAAACCACTGGAAGGAGCAGGGAAAGTTTACAGATACAGTCTTCCACTCTAGTTTGTCACCTGGAATTGCTGAGAAAGACTGGGTCATATCTAAGCCTACGGCACCAGCGAATAGAGTCCCCAAGTTCATGCAACAGCTGAAGGCTCTGAGAAAAGAACAGAAGGCTAACTTTGTCCCAGAGGCTACATGTAAAGGACTGTTGGCTCTCAGACTAGAGGAGAAAGAACCCATGATTTTATTTTTTTAAGATTTTATTTATTCATTTGACAGAGAGAGAGAGAAAGAGAGAGAGAGAGCACGAGCAGGCAGAGTGGCAGGCAGAGGGAGAGGAAGAAGCAGGCTTCCCGCTGAGCAGGGAGCCCGACTCGGGGCTCGATCCCAGGACCCTGGGATCATCACCTGAGCCGAAGGCAGCCGCTTAACCGACTGAGCCACCCAGGTGCCCTGAACCCATGATTTTAGGATCCTTTCTTTAATAATCCTTCATAATCATGTGCTGCTTTGAGAACACATCTCAATCCTGTGTCAGATTAAACCCTCTTCAAAAGGCACAGAATTGTTTGAGGGCTTAATCCAAAAAAGGATTGTCTCTCAAGGATGCAGATAGGATAAAGCACTCTTAGTCTACCTGTGTTCCAATTTAGAAAGTGGCATAATTCTAAATTTCTATCTCTTCCCTTCCAAACTCTTCCTGGTCCCTGTCCTGTTATAGCCTCCCACCCGCAACCCCTCTTTCCCAGAACAAAAGTCAAATTTTTCTCCAACAGCTAATTTTAGGGAGCTTCCCACAGCAGTTCTAAACTGCTTGCTGGGGAAGAATAAAGACTACCTGCTCCTCCAGTTTTTTTTTTTTTTAATGTCTTTCCAAGTATTATCTTCTCCATCTAAAACCTAAAATCCCTGAGTTCACAAATTAGTCTCCCTTTCCCCTCTGTCTTGTGAAGATCAGTCTTCTTGGTAAGTTGCTGTGTCAGCCTCGGAAGGTCATTCACATGTTTTATCCAACAGTTACTATAGCTATGCCCTCTTTGGTCAAATTTTGTGCAAGCATTGCATTCGGCATTAAAGGCTTTTAAAAAAAATCACAATGTTTAACAAAAGGTGCAATGAAAAATAATTCACACATAGACCTAATTAGTTTGCCAAAGTGCTCTTGCTTCCTTCCATTAGGTTGGAAATGTTGAAACCAACTCTCCTGTCTTCCTTCCCTCCCTCTCTCCAAAAAGAAGCATGATAAAAAGATGAACAAAAAAAGAATTTTGAAGCAGTAATTCTGCAAAAGCAGCTCATGGGGAAAGGCAGAATCCACTATCACCTACATGATACTGAATAACTGGGCTGGTTGATGCTTTTTACCTGGCAGGCATCTTTTTCCTCATCAGGAAAACTGGCACACATCATGGTCTTTCCCAGAAGAGGAAAGTTCATACCCTTGAGCACACTATTACACATTCGGTCATCCATGATGGGAAGTTCTACTTCTCGTAGGACGTTTGAATATTCTGATGCTGTGGAGACAGTCTGATAAGTCAGTCAACCATTGTCCTCACTGAAGTTTCCCCAAGAAGGAAAACTTCAGTCAATAAAGCAGTATTTTGTGAAATTCTTTATTATATAAAAAAAAATCGCAATATTAAAGACAAGGACACTTAACCATTCTTACTATTTCCTGATTATCCCTTTACTGTATTCTTCTTCATTTGTCATAGTTACTGCTGGTTTTCTTTTTCTTTTTTTTTTTTCAAGAAGTTAAGGCACATTTATTTTTTTTTAATTTTTTTTTAAATTTATTTATTAGAGAGAGAGAGAATGAGAGATAGCACGAGAGGGAAGAGGGTCAGAGGGAGAAGCAGACTCCCTGCTGAGCAGGGAGCCCGATGTGGGACTCGATCCCGGGACTCCAAGATCATGACCTGAGCCGAAGGCAGTCGCTTAACCAACTGAGCCACCCAGGCGCCCCTGGTTTTCTTTTTCTGACACACCTGACCAAAATGGGCAGCAGGAGAAGTTTTAGGTAGAGCCTTAAGTGTAGTCATTTTTATGGGGAAGACAACCAGAAATTCTCACTGGATCATAACTCAGGGGAAAAAAACAAAAGCAAAATAGGATAAATGTATTATTCATGGCCAGTAAAATTCCCACTTCTCATGGGCAAAGAAACCTAGAATCACTCTTATTGTATCCTTTTGATGCCGCTTACTCTCTGAGATCTTGCACCATCCACTGGTCATACAAAGAATCCCTGCTTCAAATTTATCATCTCTATGGGGAAGACAGATTGGCTGAACAGCAGTTCCTGGAAGAACAACAATAACAGAAAATTATAAGAGTCAGAGATAGATAAGTCAAACTGAATATATTTGGAAAAGTGGCATCCAGTTGATTTCATAGGTTCTACACTTTCCCCCTAAATGTAATATTGACATATATCTTAAAAGTTTTCCCTTCTCATAAAAAACTATTTCGTATTTTTAGAAATTTAGAAAAATGCAGAAAAAGTAAAACAAGGAAGAACATAATCCAGTGTTATATGCACGACCACGATCCTCCAAAACTACTAACATTTTAGGGTAGACCCTTGTTCTTAAAGGATAGTTTTCCCTACAAGTAATTGAGTCCTACTATGTGGCAAGCCCTCTTCTAGACCTCAGTGAATAAGCAGAAAGATAAATCCCTTACATACAAGAGTGTGTGTTGGGGAAGTGGGCATGCAAACAATAAATAAAATTACTTATTTGGTTGTTAGGTACTATCACTCTGGAAAAATCTGAGTAGGGTAAAGAAGATCTGAAATCTGGAGATAAGGGAGGATGGGCTGGGAAATGTAATTTTAAATATGATAGTCATGGCAAGTTTCATTGAGAAGATGACATCTGAGTAAAGCCTTGAAAAGCCAAGGGAGGGAACCATGCAGTTATCTGAGCAGAAAGCATTTGAAGAAGAAGAATGGAAAGTCCCCACAGTGCGGTCATGTCATATACGCTTGAGGAACAGCTGGCCAGAATGGCTGGAACAGATTAAGCAAAAAAATGTTTAGTGGGAAACACACACATACAACAGATTAGAAATAGAGCCAGGAGGACAGAGATGTCAACTGGTAAGAATATACTGATTTCCATCTGAGTGGAATGAAGAACCACTGAAGTGTTTTGAACAGAGTGACATAATATAACTTATTTCAAAAAGTATTAGTCTGGTGGTTGGGTTAATAACAAACATTAGGCATGCAAAAGAGGAAGTTAAAGACAATTTAAGGGACTATTAAAATTAACCCAGGCAAGAAAGGATGGTAGCCTGGAACAGGATGCTAAGGGTAGAGAGGGTGAGGCAGGAGCAACAGGACCTTTCTGGGAGAAAGAAGAATCAATGTGAGAGAAAGAGGAATCAAGACCCAGTGCAAAGTGTTTAGCTTAATTAACAGGAAAGGTAGAATTGTCATTAATCAAAATGGAAGGCTATGGGTAAAGCAGATTTAGGATGTAGGGGATAATCAAGATGCTGTTTTGAACATATCAAGTGTGAGATGCCTATTAGCCGTCCAGGTGGATGACCAGTAGGCAGTTAGCTATATAACTCCTAGTAATCCCAGCAGCGTATGTAATATAAAGAAACCTGGGCTAGATAGTCAATATTTGGGAGAGTCTTCACACAGACGGTGTTTAAAGCTTTAATCCTGAATTAGGACACTGAAGAAGTAAAGACAGATAGAGAACAAGCACACCAACAACAAGAGAAGAGGCGGTATCATCAGAGAAGACTCGCAAAGGGTGAAAAAAGAGGAGGAAGGCAAACCCAGGGGCTCCTGGAGCTCAAGTGAAGAAAATGTTTCCAGGACAGTAGGAGCAACTCTGTCAAAACTTCAAGTAAGCTGAGGATTGAGAATTTACCTTTGAATTTACCAACATGGAGGTCAGTGGCTGCGAAAAGAGCAAATTTGGGGGAGAATTGGCATGAGAGTGTGATTGACTTGGGTGTCTAACAGATAGCTCAAACCTAATACGTGCAATTATGAGAACTGAGGAGAGGAAATGAACCTCCCTACCATAAATGGAGCTTCACAGCTTTTCTGTAAAGGGGAACAGAAAAATGGGGCAATAGTTTCTTTTGGTCACAGGTAATGGGAATTCCAGCATTAAACCTGAATGAAGGCTTGCTTATAATTACAGAGCCAATAATGAAACAGGTAAGTTTCCTTATTCCCTCACTTTATGTGGCATATTTCCCTTTCTTTTTTCCCCTACCTTTCAAAGCATCACCTGTAGGGAAGTCAGGGGTTACATAGGAGACTCCAACCAGACTCTCCCATCCCCCATCCCTCCTCCCATGCAGGCTCCTTGCTTGACCAATTAAAGCTCTAGGTTCTTAAAGATCAATTTGATGCCTCAAAGGCAATGGCTTATTTCATTACCTGGCCAACTCATCTAGATTTGTGCTCTTTCATTGTTCGGGGCCACTGAACACTTTTCTTTTTTGCATTTTTAAAAAAAAACAGGTTTTTAATATTCTTATCCAAAATGTTTAGATTACCTGTGCTGAGAGAGTGTCAGATATCTAGTCCACAATAATGACAGAAAAGACGTCTCTGAGAACATTTTCAAATGTCCCAAACTCCCTGGCTAGAGTTAAGTCTAGCACATAGCCCAGCTAAGACAAGAGTACTTAAAATGTGGATTAAGTTAAGCATACATAATTTGTGTCTGGGACTGATAGCCTGTATCAGCTTTTTATAAGTTATAAACAAAATTTTAAAAAGGAACAAAACTTAGCTATTCTAATATTACTTAGATATATGCACAGAAATTAAAGCTGGTACAGAATTAATAAAACAGATTTCTCCTACATTTTTTCATGTGCTAACTCCCCTACTTACCAAACTCAACCTTGTGTTTTAGATAGAGCAGTGCAATATCAGAACTCATATATCCAAGTCTATTGTACTCAGAATGTATAATAATTTTTGAGACAGGACTCTTCTGTTCATGTTCACCCTTCTGAGAGAGGCTGTACTGCCCAGCAGTCACAGTCAGACTCTTAATTTGCTTCCTAAAACCGAAGAAAAATGTTTCAATAAGTATAGCTCTTTCCCCCAGGAAAGCCTGTCTTGGTTTCACATAATTAAATGAAAAGTGATTAGTGTAACTTTAAGCATTTCTAAGTCTTAAAAGGAGATGCACCTTTATTAATGATTACTACCATCATAATTGCCCATAAATGATAGGGATCTGTAAGAAGTCATGATTTTCCATCAGAGTGTTTACGTTCTGGGAACCCTTTCCCCTACCATCAATTGTCTTTCTGCATAAAATATTTAAGCGTGGCCTTTTTTTCCCCCTTTTGTACCAGTCTATATATGCTCTATCATTTTTAATAAGATATAAAAGTTGTTCCTAGAACTCTCCTCCTTATTATTAGTACTCTCAACCTAGCTAAGTATCTGTTATTTCCACAGTATTTTTTCCCTCCTAATGACTGAAACTGAGATTATTAAAATTTTGGAACATCCATTAAACAGTTGATGTCAATACTTCATTAGAACAAGTAACTATCACCTCCACCTCACTACTAACTCCACGAATTATCGAGGATATCTGGGATCTTTGGGGTCTCTGATTAGTAGAGTAGGAAGCACAGGAAATCTTAAGATGATCTTGATACAAGTTTCTGGGGATCAGGAAGGTCCGTGAGTGGGTGGACCAGGTGGAAAAATTCAGAAAGGGACTGAGATTGAACCTCCCATCGTATTTAGAGCTCAAATCTCCCAGTCCTATTGCTATGAAAAGAGGTTTGATAAGTAATGGAAATCCACAACTTACTCACTGAGGCCAACCAGGCAGTGTGCTGCGGTAACAACCAGATCCTCTTGGATCAAGCTTCCTCCACAGCAGTGGTGCTCCCCTAATTTTAGGGAGACCTGCCCAACAAGAAAAGCACAAACATAACTAATATAGGTCTCCCCATAGATGTCATCTCCCTTAGAAACATTTGAAGTCAACTCTCCTTATATAACATAGTTGTTACCAATATAATTGGTTAAAGATAGTTCCTGTGAAGTAAACTTTCTGACAGAGAGGTTGAGCAGGGTCAAGAGAAAAATTACATGTTAACCCGGAGTTGTGATATTTGAAACAAGAGAAAAACTTCACCATTTCTCATTAAGAATTCAATGCTTTTGTTATACTGACCTGCCACGGATGTCCACCGACTGTTGAATTTCTCCAACCAACAATTCTAGGGAAGAACCCGGTTTCCAAGACAGTTTCTGTACTTTTCACATCAACCGCACGGATCCCACACTTCAGTCCTGTGTGGCAGAGAGAGCGTGTGTGTGTGTGTGTGTGTGTGTGCGCGCGCGCACGCACACACACCCGGAGCACCTCAATGTAAGGATTCACTTTATCAAGATTCCACCTTCCGATTTTCCTGGCCTGGCACGAAAGTTCTGATGTCACTCAGCAGCAGGCTATCCCCCTTCTTTTCTCAAGATATTCTTGAGACTATCCCACAATTACCCCCTTGTTGACTGGACCTGTTTCAAGACGCCCCTGCTCCTTTACAGCCTGCGCTGCCTTAGTAAGACCCGGGGGCGGGGGGGCGGGGAGGGACGGGGAGGAACCTGCTCCCTCCAACCCCCACCCCAGATCCATTCCGAGCTTACTGCGGGGCGGGGGGGGGGAGCATTATAGAATTTAGGGTGTATTAAAGATACTGGAGAACAACATAGGCTATTCCAGAAAAGAGATATTTGACTTTTAAATTACTTCTAATTGGCTATTCTTCCGTGGAGAAGGCACCTTGGCATAGTGCCTAAAACCCTGCACTCCAGAATCCGAAGAATTTCTAAAAGAAAACCTGGCGCAGGCCCTTCTTTGGGAATTTCTGGGCCTGTGCTAGCCCCTCACGCTTCCGTCTTCGTGGCTGAAGGAGTAAGGAAGTCCCGCGCCAGCACTCAGCCCGGGGCCGCAGCCTCGACGCTCGGAGTCCGGGCTCACCTAGGCTTTGCGGGAGGCCCACGGCGAGCGAGAGCAGCAGACCCGGCCCGACCGGCGCCCGCATGGCCCCAGGGCTGGGGGGACTCTGGCCCGCTTCCTCCTCCGCAGCGGCAGAAACCGAGCGAGGACCGCGAGCCCCGCGGCGTAGACCCTCCCGCTCCCGGAAGCGCCCGCCGCGCTCTTCACTCCTGCGCGGGCGCCGGTGGGCTGCACCTGCTGCGCCGCTGGGCTCACCGCTGCCGCTGCGCGCCATCATCCCCACCATCATCCCCATCATCCCCGCGCCCTGCCTTTACAGGTGTGCAGGGGGCTCCGCTGGGGATCCCGGGAGCAAGGGATCAGTGGGCTGGCACGCTCAGCACAGGGGAATTCTGGTTCCAGCCCAGGGAGCGTGGCCCAAGCCAGGGTCGAGGAGGCTGGTCACCCATACGAGACACAGGCACGCCCACTTCTGAAAGGAGGAAGACTCATGGAAGCTTATTGAGGAATTAATAGGATTGCCCCACCTTCTAAGAAGCTTGTTGAAGCCCTTGACATTCAAGAATTTTCAGAGTGGGTACGAAAGATCAGGTTTATAGCTGCCATCCCCTTCCTGGGTGGCTGTGTTATTAGCTTCAGTGGAATGGGCCAAAGCGGTAGGATCCATCATGTAAGATTATTAAAATGAATTCATTCGTAAGATTATCATGTCAACATATTTTTCCGTAAGCGTTATTTTGTCATAAGATAGCTTGAGGTTGGGAAAGGAAGAAAGCCAGAATTTGTAATGGGTTTATGTTTTAACAAAAAATTAGGGAAAAGCTCAGTGGACATTCTATATATTACTAAGGTAGATACCAATCTCCCAGGCCCAGTTATCTTACTTCCATGTATAATAGAAATAAAAGCTCAAGGTGGGAGATATACAAATTAGGTAAACAGGCAGGCAGTAGACAGATGGACGGAAAAGCAGAAGACAGTCAAGGTGGAGGGAATGCAGGTACAGAAACAGGTAGGTGAGAATCGGCTGAGGGAAATGACCCTGAAACTGCAGAAGGGAACAGGAGATCAAGGGGCCCCTTTCCGTGAAAAGCTTGAAAAATGCAATTGGCACTGAAACCCGAAACAGTCTCGAACCTTCTCTCATGAACATAAAAGGTGTTTCTCTGATTTTTATGTCCCATCTACCAACATTAAGAAGCTCTAGAGGGGCACTGTCCAATCATAGTGGACACTAGCCGTATGTGGTTATTTAAATTAGTATTACCTACAGTAAAAACATCAGTTCCTCAGTCACACCAGCTCCATTTCAAGGGCTCAGTAGCCACATGTGGCTGGTTGAGAGCGTACAGAGGACCCTGCCATCATCACAAATAGTTCTCTCAGACTGCACTGTTCTTGAGAATAGCAAGCACCATCTTATTTATTTTAAATAAAGACCCCTTGCAAAACAGTTTGAGTAGAGGACTCCTGGGTTTTAAGCTTGTGTGTCTAGGGGACACTGGGAGGGGGCTTGGTAAGGTAAGCAGCCTTTCTGTGAAAACAAAGCCCTGCACCTGCAGGCTTGAGCACTGCAAAGGGAATCCCCAGCTCTGGTAGCTGCCTGACCCGGGGCGCTCACCACCTCACCCGTACATTTTGCTTTCACTGTGGCGATCTTACCAGGAATACCATAAACATCCCCTGCCCCAGGGGCAAACTCTTCCCCAACACAAGCTCAGATCCTCCAGGTAGACCCAAATACCTACTTCTTCTTCGTAAGAGGGGGTCAGATTAAAACCACTACAAAGCTGTTACCAAATGAACTGGGAGGGAAAGAAAAATGTTCACGTGGTGTGCAAGTACAATTGGACTGACAAATTTTCAAGTTCATGGCTAACCTTCTCGCAAGGCCCACAGACCCTGTCAGTATGCAGTCTTCGACGCGTGATGCACACACAGTTTTGCAGGATATTCACTCATTTGTTTCACCCAGAAGTCTCCATGGGGTTGGGCATGGTCTCATTTCCTGTTACAGCATAGCTCCCTTTGTTTCCAGAGTTCAAAACTCACAGCCTGGTGAGACCTTGTCCTTTTATGAGGATTGGTCCCTTCTAGACCTAACAAAATAATGCCTTCTCATTAAATAGGAAAGAAGCCATTCAATATGAATTGTGTACCTATCCAATAGGTTGTTTTAAATTTGCCAGGGAGATGATGGGTTTAAATATAAGTTGAGTTTGTGGTGACGTTGCAGCATCTAAATGGAAGTATTCTCATATATAATACAAGTATCTATCTATCTATCTAAAAGGAAATGATGTCAAGGGAGAGTGGGCTGAACTCTCCCAGATTGGATTTGTGATGTATGAGAAATCTGCCTTTAATGTGAACATATCTTCATTAGGGCAGGATAATGATGTGCTTTTGGAGGCCTTCCAAGACTCTGAATGGAAGCCCCAACTCTAAGGAGAGTTGTAAAATTAGGAGCGTTAGTGACTAATCTATAAGCAACAAGCAAATCACGGGCAAATAATGTTTTGTGTAAACAACTTTTTCCATCCTTGCTAAACTACTGGTCTAAACTCTAGAACCCTCTCCAAAGTCCCGCCAAGGCCCAAGATTCAGCACTAAGGGAATTCTTGGTGACCTTAGAAACAGAAGTTTCATTTGCTTATTTATTGCAGGGACAGATCACTGTGAAGCAGAGGGTATGTGAAGGGTGGAGATGGAAAGAATGGGTGAAGACAATTCTCTCAAATAGCTTGGCTGAGAAGGAAGAAAGAGATGTGGTAGCAGCTAGAGATGAAAGAAACAGAGGAAGGACTTACACTTTTTTCCAAATGGTTTTGATGGTGGTTACCTGTATACTGTTTTAAAATAGAAGGGAATCACAAGAGCCAGTAGAAGGAAGAAGTTAAAGATGAAAAAGAGAGGTAAAGGGATGGAACGAAGCTTCACAAGAGGCAAAATCCGGAGCCTAGGGCCCTCTTCCATTGTAGTTAATAGGAGGGGGAAGAATCGGGTACAGGGAAGTTTGTAGACAGAGTGCAGGCTATTGAGAGAATATCTGTTTTCTACCTTTTACTTACTCTCCACAGAAAGAGGTGAAGGCACCTACTCAGCAAGATGAGAGGAAGAAATCAGGAGCGCAGAAGGACTGAAACACTCACTGCAAGTTATGGGAAAGAGAGCAGACATGAAACACACAGAACAATGCAATACAATGAATGAATGAGAAGGAAGGAATTTTCTTTCTTTTAAAGCAGACACCAGCTAGTGACAAGGATTTCAGTGGGTACTAATCATGGAGCCCTTGAGAGACTGAAACAGACGTAATTATTTTCATTATATTTTATATAAAATAAATATTTACATAAATTTTATTTTGGAAAGACTGAGGCAAAGCATAGATAATCAGACTTAAATGGGAGAAATACTTTATGGGAAATATATTTCTAACTGGCACAGCAAAAGTAACAAAAACGTACATTTATATACAACCGATCAAAGGAGAAAATAAAAACATGAACAAAGAACACAATGCAAGTAATTTTCTCCCTGATAAAAGGAGGGATCCGCGTGAGTCACAGCAAGTCAGATGGTTTCCACATTATAAAAGCAAGCCATGGCTTCTACAGATATTTTAATTCCTTCGGTGGAAATTTGAAAAACTATTTTCCCCCAGACACATAACAAAATGACCAGTTTTTAGGTGTACAGACTGCAAAATAAGAATAATTATCGCTGCCATATTAAAGCACTAGAACAGTGCAGTCACTTCTATGGTTGTATTATTATGTGTTTGTGGCGGTGATTATCTTAATTTCGAAAACTAAGGGCAACGTTAATCAGTTACCTCTTTGGAGGTAGAGGGCTTTCAATCTGGTTTCAGATATGGCTGAGACACTTGGTAACCTTCCCAGGGTGAGGCAGCTCCTTTGTGGCCGAACAGGCCTACCACCCAGATTTCCTGATTCTGGGACTGGCGAACCCCTCCTCTGGGCCAGCAAGGCAACCCCAAAAGGATGTTATGCACATTGGAAACTTCCAAACGTGACATAAATATATACCATTTGCACCACCGAGAATGGGAAGAAACTACTGGGCTTCTGGACATCTACCTATCTTTCCATTTTGGGGTAAATGGTGATCTAAACTTACAAACTTATAATGACCATTAAGGTGATGGATGCTGATTTTATGAGCTACACGCCCTAAAAGTTTTTAACTGAAAGGATCTTTGGTGATAATAGCGCATTTTTATATGACCCATTTGATAGATAGGAAAATCATCAATTCTGTTGTCACTTTATTTTGCTGATATTAAAGCACTCCTTTGATTGCAGTTATTTTATTCTCCTTAAGTTAATGGCTACTAAAAACAAAAATAATGAAGGAAGTGCTATTTTTTGAAGAACTGTTCAATGTATTTTTCTTTTACATCAAAACTTCAAAAATAATCGTAAGAAGTTATAATGCGTCCATATATATATTTGGCATTGTAAGCTTTTATCTCACTCAATTGCAGCCTAAATGCAAGATTTGACAGGTATTTATTCTTTTAAAAATGCCAAAAGATGTCAGATAGTTATGTTTTCCTATTGTTGTGAAATACCAACATGCAATTTAATCAAAGTAAATGTGATTTGGAAACTAGGTGAAAAATTAAAAACAAACCAACCACCCATAACTACATTTGCTTTGATTGTTGTTACTAATACCCTATAGATTTATTAATCTAAGATGCAAATCCTTCACACATCAGATCAAAGGTTTTATTTTTCCCTCAAAAACAGATTCTAAAAATGAGTACAATAAGAAATAATTAGCAAAAATTGACATGTGTATAATCAAAACAGACATAAGTTTAGGCATACACTCTATGCCATGAACACCTCCTGTGAGTTTTACATACTGGGTGCCTTGTCTGGTGTATACAAATGGTAATTCCTCTCCATCTGAGAACCAAGAATTCTGAAAATGTAAGGTCAAATTATAGTCCAATTGCCACCAGTGCAAAACACCCCACCCAACCCACCTGTCTGTCATTCTTGAAACAATAGTCTCAGCCAGTCATCTGTGCCATAAATTATTTTTTAGAATTCTCTGGCTCATTTTAGTCTAGATTTAAAAGTAAAACTCAAGAAAGATTATAAAACTCATAAAAGTTCCATTAAAGTTGTTAGCCTGAAAGTGGTTCTCCAGCCTCACTGCGTATTAGCATCTGAACCCGGGCGGCCAGCACCTCGGAGACTGTCAAAGGGCCCCCGGTGATCAAGTAGTCCGGCCAGGCTTGAGAGCCCCTGTGTGTGAAGGAACAGTTCTCAACTATCAGCTGAATGTGGCTCTTCGATCTATGGGGCCTGGAATGTTTAGTAGAGACAGTAAGAAACCACACGTCTATTTTTATTCCCCCTAAAATGACAGTTTCTGCAGGTCGGTTTGTATAGAACAGTTTGGATTTTCTCATTTAGTCTTGTTGAAAAGCACTGCGCAACCACTACTGACCCCTGCATCAAGTGAGGTATGACCTGTGACAAATGTCACAGTCTCCTGCTAGGGGCTGTGATGTACTATAGGGTGCTGTAATTAAAATGCTGGCAATCCTCTTTGTTTTGTGATGAACCTCAAAACAGAGAGACCCAAAAGAATATATCTCAGGATTCCCTAAAATAAAATTTCTTTTCCTCCAAGGTATTTGAATCTTTGGTTTAGTTTACCTATGTTACATCGCTGAACAGTGTTTTGTGAATACCGCTAACAGACTGAAAACGTCTGGATCACTTAAAAACAAATCCTGAAGAATTCTTAAGGTTGAAATAAACTTGTAAAGCCATTCTCATGGCTCCTATGTCAAAGGACTGCCACTTACTGGGGAATTTTAAAGGCAAGGAGGACTGGTTCTAGGTCGGACAGGACAGGCTGGACAGACTGGCAGTAAGCGGGGCATATATGTACCCAAGGAACTCTAAACGTAGCTGAGAAAACAAAGCAAGTGTTCTCAGAGGAACAGAGTCACAAGCGAAACTCTTGATCATTGGATCGAGCATTCAGCCAGACTAAAGCAACTCCTGTCTTGTCCTCGGCCAACCTCCCTTGTACTGAGGACACCCTACATATTTAAGGATTCAGTGCAAAATAGATTTGCAGGACCCCTCGTTCAAAAATTATTAAGAATTTCAAGCAGAGCCTTCAACCAAGCATAGGGGGCTTCCGAGTGCAGGACCACATGAACTGAAAACCCATGAGGCTGGCTCTGCGATCCCAGCTCAGAAAGGGGCCATCAACTCTCCCGCCAAGCACACTTTTATTAGGGGAATCTGGATATATCTCCACAACTAGCCAGGGCTCTCTGTTTTTATTGATAAGAATGAATTCCACATATTATTTCATGTTACAAGAACCAAATAAAAACAGTTATAAAATACGATTAATATCTTTGAAAAATAATATGTGATTTATTTTCTTATAGGCACCATTTAACTATGAGAACCATTTCACTGGCTACATCTCAGTGACATTATTAAATCAGGATAAAAATATCTGACCCAACAGTGCTTACTTTTCATGTTCAAAGAGATGCCAGTGTCTGCACACAGAATGAGCCAGAGCTACAGTGAGAAGGGGGGAGGGTCACAATGAAGGGAGGTTGAGGGGGGTGGGGAGAAGGGAGGGAGGGAGAGAGAGACAGACAGAAAGACATGGGGAAAGAGAAAAGCACCCAAAAGAAGGTAGAACAAGTCTTCTGAAGGCCATGTGACCCCTTCCCTCAGAAACTTTTAGGCTGTAACCGCCATTTCAACCACTCCCACTAAGGTACCCTCATACCTTTAGCAGCACTTCAAGTAAGGCATAATTGCTTTTCAAAATTTGGGGCTTAGTCTTTTCCGTTAACTTCCTAAGTGTGAGTTTTGGTTACAGATTATTCTAAAGAGTTGTGATTAAAGTCTCAGATACTGTTTTTAGCTAGGGATTCATGTTTGTTTGTTTTTTTTTTCCAATTTAGGGGCGGACTGATCATTTAAAACGAACACTGTAGTACATTTCTTGGCCTTAGGACTATAAAAGTATAATTTTGAGGAGAATGAAAATATTTTAAGCAAAATTTTGGATAAATTTATGATCTATACGGTTAAAAGACTATTAGAAACAGAAGATCATAGTGGCAATATATACACTGTTGGATTATTGATGCACACAAACACATGTGTGCTAATTCAAATTCTGGAATCCTCTGCATTCAAAATATTCCTTGCATCATCCCTTTCCAGAGAAGTTCTTTTAACTAGACTTACCTTGACAAAAAAATAACAGAGGGGCAGTGTTGAAAAGAAGCACGGTTTTTACCCTGCCCTGGCCTGAGCACGTGCAATCCGAACGCCTTCAGGCTATTACATCTGCAGGCCACCTGGCTTAGCCTGCAAACAGCACTCCCCAGAGTGGTTCTTCTTCTTCTTCTTCTTTTTTAATTTATGATGATGACCAAATTAGAATCAGTTGTTCCAACTTCTTCACTTCCAAAATATATTACCACCCAAACACTGATGTCTGCTTCCTAATTTCTTTAGCTTTAGCAAGTGAATAATCAATACAAATTTTTTGAGGGGCTGTTAAAACTTCACTTTGTAATTCAGATTTGTAATTTTTGTATGATCAGTTCTGAAAGCTGCTATTAAAACCACTATGTACAGAGAAAAAAAATGTGCGTGTATATATATATATTAAATATTTTATAAGTTATGAAATAAATAAAACTAAAAAAACAAATGTCAAATTGTAAGTTCAACTTTGCTGGCCTCCATCTTTTAAATATAAATATATATTTTATAATAACGAATTTACTTTTTTCTCCCCTAGATTTTTTGAGTATTCTCCATGAAATCTCCAAAATTATAAATACAGAACCAAGAATTCCGGATTTCCATCATTCATGTTCTAAAGCATAGAATTCTCATTAAGCCTCAGTAGACAAATCAATAGAACTCCTCTCATCTGTTTATAATCTATGAAGATTTTTGTGATATATTGTACAGATTTTTCAATGGTTAAATATAGTTTTCAAAAAAATAATAAATCTCTGGATGACTGAATGTTAAGATAACAAAGTAGAACATTTCTCTTAGTTAATATCTTTAATATTTCTCATGTAGAATATACTGTTTTTTTCTCCACCGAAGTAACAATATATGTGGAGTCAGAAACATTTATGATTCTAAAAGCACTTTTGAAATCTTAGAGCAGAACCACTACTCTAGTAATACTTGTAATAAAATTAAAATAATCTTAAACATTTCCATAAAGAATTAGGGGTACCAAGATCCTTGATTTTCCCCCAGGGATAAGAACACCCATACACAATCCCAGAAGCTTCCTTTTTGATATCTCAGGCAATGGGAAAAGCTTGCATCAGAGTGGAATTTAATTCACTCTTCAATTGGGCTCTAGCAATATCCTCGGGGGGATATTAGACAAAGCTCACTTAGCAACAGCCCTTTCCTCCATACATTCCAGAAGATTCTACAAAAACTATCAGCCACTCATCTCTAGTTCTGGAGAACTAAATGAGCTACCTCTTGGTGGAATTACCCAAATGGTTTATCCCAGAGATTTTTTTCCCTCTTTGACATATCTCATCTCATGAAGAAGAGCTGCTCTACCTTCATAGCATTTCAAGCCTCTGTATTTCTGGGACATAAAAGTCTACATTAAGAGATGGAATTAGATTCTTAGGTTGGAAAAGCAGATAAATAGATGAAGGGAGACCTGGAATTAAAGCCAACAAAAATCTGCAAAATGTGTAGTAGCTGTTTTGCTTTCTCTCAGACCTAGCCCTTGCTTGCTCTTTCTTCTTCCAGGGAAATGCGAGTCCCTCAGCACAGGGTTACCAGCAGGCGTCCCAAAACATGCCTCCCTGAACTCAGAGCGAGCGAGCGGAAGGCTTCTCTGTTGTGCCCCTGCTGAGGTGAAGGCCTCCATCTCTTCTTCCTCCTCCAGAGGCACCAGCACTGTTCCTCACGACTGGGTCAAACGCTGCTACGTTTGATCCTTTTCTCGAACTTCTTGTAATCGTTTCTCTAGGCGATCCAACTTGGCGAGATTTTCCTGCAGCAGTTTGCTATCTGGAACCAGCTGGAAGGCTCTCTTGTAATAAGCTCTTGCAGACACATAGTTTCCCTGTGGGGAAAAAGAGAGACGACAATTATAGTCTGACCCTCAGAACGCTCTTGAAGAATGGGGAGACTAAGAGACAGATCATCTGGCCCAGTTTGACGGGTATATCCTCAGAAGAAAACCCCGTTTGCATGGGTAACTTCATCCTTATCTGTTGGTGCTTTTGGAGAATCCATTTGTTTTAAGTACCAGACCAGTTGGAGAATGTGAAGGATAAGAGTTATACCATAAGGTGAAATGGCAGAAAAACAGATTTTCAATTCTACTATCATTTCATAGTGCTCTCGTGGGGTTGCCACTATTCCTTAGTAATCAAATGGAGCCATGGCTAGACATGCAGAGAGAGAGTGAGAGAGAGGGAAGGAGGGAGGGAGGGAAGGAGAGAAGGAGGGGTATTTGTGGGAAAATGCAAAAGTAGTGATGATTAAATAGTTTGGGATCCACTAGACCTATTTAGTGGTAGAAATTATTTTAATATCCAACTAACATAAAAGCAACTTTTGCCTAATATGGGCTTTAATGTAAATATAAGTTTTTATATACTGGAAAGAACTGATAAGAATATGGAGTCAAATTTACCCAAGGTGTGTGACAATATGAACCTGCTGGACCCTCTTAAAGCAGGAAGGAAGGCATGTCACCCCTGACCTGCTAAAGACACCTGTCACCACCCTCTGTTGGCCCCCATCTGCTTTGTTCAATGACTTTCTAACTGGAAACCATGTGTGCCTGTCCCAGATGGTTCCAAGCAAATTAGTCACAATTACTGTTTTCCAGGCCCTTTTCTGCTACTAAATTTTACCTTCCTTATTTGGCCCACCCTCTTTCAGATCTGTGACCTGCCACGTCTCAGAACTCTGAGTGTTGGAGTTCTCTCCATTCCCCCAAATTTCAATTTGCTTTATTTTATTCTCAAGTACAGCTCCATGTGGACAAAAACCAGTTACTCTCTGAATTCCCATCACAATTTAAAATAGCATCTCTAAGTGAGAGTTCTATGTAGCAACTAGCAACTGATACTCACTAAATGCTTAACTATCCTCTAAATGAGTTAATGCACGTTAGGAGCTCAGACACTGCCTGATGCATAGTAAGCCCTCAATCTGATGCTCCCATTGTTGTCATTATTAAATGATCATCCAGACTTGAGTAAACACTGTCCATTTATTACTATACTTACTTGTCATATTGGTAAAAGGGAGGGGGGGCGCCTGGGTGGCTCAGTTGGTTAAGCGACTGCCTTTGGCTCAGGTCATGATCCTGGAGTCCCGGGATGGAGTCCTGCATCGGGCTCCCTGCTCAGCAGGGAGTCTGCCTCTCCCTCTGACCCTCCCCCCTCTTATGTGCTCTCTCTCTCTCATTCTCTCTCTCAAATAAATAAATAAAATCTTGAAAAAAAAAAAAAAAGAGGAGAGGGGAAATGACATCAGGATCCAGGCTCTGGCACATGCACAAATGAAAACATTTATGATTATGAACCCTGATTCTCATAAGAGGCTAAATAAAATTCTGAACAAGTGAGAACCTGGATTTGCTTCATTCAATTGTTATTATTTTTTTTTCAACTCCAGCATTTATCTTCCAAATGTCTGCACACACATGCAGACAAGTGAACATTTGTGACCCTTAGAGTGCTCTACAAATGTTTGTATTACAGCCGACTTTGAAATTGTTCTGCTAAGAGTTTTTTCTGAATTTAGTCCTCAGCCTGGTGCCTTGGCATTTCCTTCTTTGATTACCAGCTTTCTTTGTCCTTTCATATAAAATCCACAGCTACAGTTATTTTCTCTCCCTCAAATTGCTCTTTACTTGATTAAACTGAAAGCCTTATTTTTTTTTTTTTTTTAAGTTATAGCCCTTGATTCAATGTCCCCAGTTCTGAGATGCTAAGATAGGGGAATCTGATATTTTAATTTCCAGAAATGTGCTATCTACTATGATAGCCACTAATTCCATTTAAATTGAAATCAATTACGATAAATTAAGAATTCAGTTGCTCAGTTGTACCAACCATGGTTCAAGGGCTCAACAGCCACATGGGCTAGTGGCTATTGCCTTGGACGGTACAGACACAGGACTACTTCTGCTACCACAGACAGTTCCACTGCATGACACCATTCTGGAAAATGCATGTAGGGCAGTACTGAAAGTAGGACTTTGTGGTGTGGCCCAGTTGATAAAACTCTTTGATTATAAAGAATGTATGTTGGCTTTTTTGGTCCATCCATTTCAGCCTTTATGAAGCTTCATAATAATTATCTTTTATTACCAAACAGTACAAGCAAGAGACAACTCTGTTCTCATCTCTTCATGCCATGTCCTGGCAAAGCCTTATTCCAACTTGCAACCGTACCACAGCCCTCAGTATCCTAAGCTTCACCCGGGCTCGGGGAAAGTGAAGCCTGGAAAGGGCTAATACTGCCTGGTGCACACACTACCTGGCAATGCGAAGACAGAAAGTTAATGACTGCTCTTTAGGACCCCACAGTAATAATCTTGCATCCTAATGGTGCCATTTAAATGACCACATCCAAGCCAGGTGCCCGGTCTATATATTTATATTGGATTGTATCATATGAATTTACTGATATTAGATGATTTTTCAACTACAAACGTGGCAATTTCACTGTTCAACTCTTCAGCCTAATACATGATGTTTGCAAAGATGAAAAACTGCACAAACTAATTTTTAATCAGTGTGTTCATTACATTTTAAAAGAATACACTCAGTAGATCCTTCTTCAATCTCCAAACACCTTTTCAGGGGAAGTACCTCTAAATTTAAAACAATGGATTCACTTGTTAATCTGAGAGTTCAATAAATGTACTATTTTCCTTGTATTTCAAGAGTTTTTGGAAAAGTGTTGAGTGTACTTATTGTACTTTTTTTTTTTTTTTTTTTTAGATATGAGAGAGGGAGAACATGAGCGGGAGGGGCAGAGGGAGAAGGAGAAAGAATCCCAAGCAGACTCTGCACTGAGTGCTGAGCCCAACACAGGGCTCGATCTCACAACCCTGAGATCATGACCTGAGATGAAACCAAGAGTCAGCCGCTTAACCAACTTCACCACCCAGGGACCCCTATTTACTGTACTTTTTAAATTAACAACCGAACCCATTGCTTTAAATGGCAGGCACACGTCATCTAAAAACATATTGAGCATATTATTTTATAAAACATAACTATTTAACATACTATTTAAATATTCAAAATTATGTTACTATTTTAAAAGTAAGTTCATATTGCTGGACACCCTAGAAGATCATTAAGGTCAGAGCTCAGGTTATTCTGCTCTGATAAATGTCATGTTTGTTCTTCTATTAGATCAAGGCTGTCAGTCACATAATAACTCACCCATTATCCCCTTCTGGCTATATAATCACAAGTCACCTTTTGTTTTGTTGTGTTTCTGAGAGTGACCAGTTTCCACTTAATAGTAAACCCTATTAGGCTTTTGTTTAAATGCTAATCACTATATTACTGTTTTGTCAATAAAAAGACTGATAGAAAATAGGTTAGCATAATAAGAGTGATCCTTTAAAGACATGTCAGACCATGGCATATCTCTGCTCAAAGTCCTCCAAGGACCCCAACTCATTTGGCATTGCATAAAAGCCAAAGACCCTACACTCTCCTTCAAGGCTCTGCATGATCTGACCCCGTGACTTCTTTAATCCCAGCTTCTACCATTTCATCTCACTTGCTCCCTCTCTGAGGGACCTTTGCACATGCTCTTTCCCTATTTTGCCACATGGCTTGTTCCCTTCAGGTCTCTACTCAAAATCACTTTTTTAAAGTGAGGCCTTTCTTAACTATCTTAATTTTAAATTTCAGTCCTTACCCCATGGCACTTCCTATCTTCTTTCTCTCTCTTTTTTCTCCATAGCACCATGATATATTTTATGTATACATGTATGCATGTATGTGTTTATTTATTTATTGCCGATCTCCCTTACTAAATGTTATCTCCATGAAGACAGGAAGTTCTGTCTTACTTGTTTAGTGTTCTATTCACAGTGCCTGAAGAAGGAGTACCTGGCACTTAACATGCTCTGTATGAATGTTTGTAAAATGAATGGATGAATGAATGAATGATAGTCTTTGAGTTCATTACTTATAGACAGCAGCCTTCCCAATGGTCATTTTTAATAATTTGCTCAAAGGTAGCTTTTTCTTTTGGAAAAACAAAAAATAAACCCACAAACAACCTTGTGTTTCAATAAATGATCAGGGAGTAAAAGATACATTAGATACAAGAAATAATAAAGTAATATTTAAAGTTAACACTGTAGTCTTGACCATGAGTTAAGCTGTAGGACAATGAGCTACTGGAAGCCCCAACAAGGCTTAGTTCACATAAGCAGATTTTATTTGCTGTACGATGATTCTTCTCTTAAGTACATATGGTTTTCTTTATGTTTAATAAAATCATGGAATTTAATTTGTATAGATGTGGTTTTCAAATGACTTCATGATATCCAATATCTAGATAATACAAAGTGAATATAAACTGTGCTAATTTCACTTTTAAACACCTATGGCTTTTGGTATTTAAATAACTCAAAGAGGGAATTAACAATATGTTTTCAATCTTTTGAGAGAAGACAGAAAGAGAAAATGCAAAGTCTTCATGGAAGTGAATTATTCTCCTACCTTGATGTGTTGGATTCCACCCATGTTCATCCAGGCCTGTGCTTGATCTGGATTTAACTCCACGGCGGCTTTATAGCTCTAAAGACACAAGAAACATCTTCAGGTTGAGAAAGGAGAACCCACGTTTAATGCTACAGGATTGTGGAAACCACCTTCTTCATACGTGAGAATATACATGGTTAACACAATGAAACCCGACACTACCAGCTCACAGGTGTTCCCATTTATTTCAATTATTTTTGAGAACTGATGATTCGAAGTGGAGGAAACTGAAATGTGTAATTAGCTCACAGAGACTGAGGATGCCCACAGGGAATCCAGGTGATTTTATTATAGTGTATCATTTCTCACTGGCCTTGACCTGCAAGAAAACTCCTTTGGCCTTTTTTGCTATAAATGGAGTTTGTAAGAATAATTTTTTTTTTGGTAATCATGGAATCTTAGAGTCTTTTCCTATACAGCTCAGTCCCAGGGTAATGTCCCCTTTTACAATATCATTGGCCTGGTTATTCGGCTTATGCTGAAATCCTTGCAGTGACAGGATGCTCATTCCTTCCTTGAGGACATCCATTTTCCTAGGTTTAGTTTCAATCATTAAAAAGTCTTCCTTTATCTTCTGCCACAAGGTCTTCAAATGTCTGAAGAGAGTTACTTACTCTCAAATACCTCTTTTGGTCTGGAAATGTGTATCCCATTAAATGTAACATCTGTGAGGCATATTTGTAATATTTTGCATGTTGTTTTATATCCCCCCCACCACTGGCATGCTCACCATTGGGTCTTAATTTACGAGTGGTCACCTTAAACAAAGCCAATGGCTAAGAATGTTGCTTTCAATCACAAAGCTAAGTATTTGTGCGTCATTTAATGCTCTTTGCTATTTGCATTGATGAACAGATTCATAAAGTAAATAGAATCTGGTCCATCCCTCCTCCACTTCTGTTTAAGAGAAACAAGCAAACAATAAGAAAATATACTTTTAAAGAGCTGCTAAAATAAACCTGAAGAATGTGTCTCTTGGGTTAATTTATATCAACAGAGATGAGAGTGTAGGGTAGAAATTAAGAACTTGGATTCAAATCCCAGCTCCATCTCTTACCCTCTGTGACCTTGAGCAAGTTACATAACCTCTGAGTCTCAGCTTATTCAACTGTAAAATGAAGACAATGATCACAGCTTTCTTATATGATTACTGAGAAGATTAAATTACTTAATATGTGTAAATCATAAATAAAAATGCTAACACATTGTAGCTGCTATTATGAGCTCACAGCCCTACTTCTATCCATCATAGATCTAGCCACTTTATTAATTGATTGGTTGATTGATTTTAATAGACTCTACACCCAGTGTGGAGCCCAATGTGGGGCTTGAACTCACAACCCTGAGATCAAGACCTGAGCTGAGATCAAGAGTCAGACACTTAACTGACTGAACCACCCAGGCGCCCCAAACGTCACTTTAAAATGATTATTTGATCTATAGTTAAAGCAACTAGAAAATACTTTTGTTTTCAATACAACGTGTAAGATACAGGTATAGATACCAAATAAGTTCAAAATTAAATTATACATTCATTAAATTGTCACGTTAGGTATTAAAAAATGTTCACAGTGCAAGGGGGCCTGGGGACCTCCGTCAGTTAGGTGTCCTTTGACTCCTGATTTCAGCTCAGGTCATGATCTCAGGGTCTTGGGATGGAGCCTCCGCGCTCAGCGGGAGTCCACTTCTCCCTCTCTCTCTGCCCCTCAGCCTGCTTGAGCCCCCTCTCTCTCTAAAATACGTAAGTCTTTTAAAAAAATGTTCACAGGGCAGAGAAAAATACAAAATTTCTGCTTCAAATATGCCACTGTTTATTTTAAGAGTTCATGTTCAAGTTAGTTTTCTCAAATATCTTTACCTATGTTTTTGAATATTTTAAAGGTCACTCACTGTTTTCAAAAACAATAATATCATTTAAAATTTTACTCTCCTCATGTTATATTTAGTGTAATTTTATGATTTCATTAACTCCACCTTGTGGCTTTACCACAGTGGTATTTCTAGAACATTTCTATTTGCTTGGAATATCTTTTTGATTTCAAACTGTGTATAAATTTTACTTGAGAGCTCTAGATATTGAATGCCTCTAAGATGCAAGGCATTATGTTTTAGAAAATGGAAGGAAGCCGTCTCTTTTTACAAGGAGAAGTCCAATCTAACTGGGGAGCAGGCGCTGGGCACGAAGGAGTGGGGGTGGGGGTGGAGGAGGGGGAGGAGAAGAGGCAAAAGAGGCCTTACAATACAATGCAATATATGATACTTTCAAATGACTTGTAGAGACAGTAAATGTTGTCAAGGTCCACAGGAAACAAGGGCACTAGGAGAAAGCATGGTCCAGATGGGCTTCCAGAGGGAGGAGAACAAAGGCTATGTGTTCATAGATGAGAGGGAATCTGTGAAGAATTGGGGGGGGGGAAGGGTGTTATAAGGAGGTGTGGAAATGCCAAAGCTATTCAGACACTAGTCCAGATGGACGAGAGGGTTACTGCCGGCCAACAGAAAGAGTGAGGGAGGCAGAGAATAGAAACTAGTTTGAGGGAATAATGTGGAACTGCTTCAAACATCAAGTTAAAGGTAATAATTCAGAAAATAATGCAGAGGTACTGCAGAACTCCGAATAGTTAAAAAATAGTCAATTATAAAAACTAAATGTATAACATCATGGCCCTTAATCGGAAAGTTCACTCCACAAATATGCCAGTGATCTTAAATTTTACTGTATATGCTTCAGTAAAGATTGAGAGTACTTAATTTTAGTCCCTTCATTTAATAACATAATTAAGTGTTTATACCTCAAAAGCTTTATCCAGAAGATTCTGCTCTCTTAGTTGGTTTCCTTTTGTGAAAAAAAGTTCAGATATGACTTTTGGGTCCTTTGGTTTCAGCTGGAGAGCCTTGTCTATAGCATCGAGTGCCTGCAACAGGTTTGAAAGACCAAATGTAGATGAGACGAAGAAAAACTAACACTAAATGATAAAATTTATACCTTTTGTCCTTATGTATTAGCTGGTGTGGAAATGACAATCAAAACACATTCTCCATTCTCTCTGATGTCTTCATTGGGAAACAATGTGGCCCTCACAAAATAATTTTCCTATACTCCAGGGTTTCCATTTATATTGTGACAATGACATGTCCCTGACCAGTCCACAGGGAGGTCAGTGATAAAGATGAAAGAAAACAAGATCTGGGGTCAGGTGTTTTGCCCTGCCTGTGTCCATCTGGACCACTCTAAACACAGCCTCCCCTTAGGTCCCTGGTGCCCACTCTGCCCCCAGCACCCACTGCCCCAAACCCTGCAGCCAGAGATCCCTTCACAGCACAAATCTCACCATGTTGCTCTTCTCCTTAAAACCCCAAAGGTCCCCCAAGGATAACAAACAAAACCTTTGCCCTGGTCCCAAGCCCTGTGGCATGTTGTCTCCTGCAACCTCTGTGGCCATTACCTTACACAGTGCCATGTTCCCGTCATGCCCATCCCTCAGACTTGCTACTTGCTGCTGCCACGGGGCCTCTGCATGTACTTTATCCTGCCTGGAATGCTTTTCACTGCCCCCCTTCATCTAATCACTCCTATTTATCATTCAGCATTCACCTTCATATCACTCCGCAAGGAATCTAACCTCCCAGATCACTCAGGTCCTTGATCATATGCTTGTTAGGACCATGTCACTCTTAATGACATCACTGAGCACAGCTATTAATTCTACAGTTGTTTCGTGATTGCTTATTTAATCTTGGTTTCCTCTTCTTCTATAAACTCCTTGAGGACAAAGGTAATTTTTTTGTTTTTCTAATACCACTTTATTCCTGGTACCTACCACAGTGCCTGGCATATAGCAGGCGTTCAATAAGTATTTTGTTGAGTCAGTTCATAGATTTACTGGTTATATGACTTTTCAAATGGACATAAACAATAATAGTTGCAAAACAGGATCACTGACCTGAAAAAGACTGTTATAAGGATTCTATAAATAATGTATTTGAAGGAACATGGAAAATGGTGAAGCATACAAATGTTAGTCTTTATCTAGTTAGGTGAAAACAAATTGAGATACTGTCACATAAAATCTTCAGACAAAGGATGAGCCAAGAAAGTATTATTTCAAGGGGACATATCAGAGTTAAGGAGATATCTGTGAAAAGCATCTGTAAGACAGGCTATGCCAATGGATGATATTCAAGCTTGCTCAGCCTCATAAATGCACACACTGGAGAATTAATCAGGCGCACCCCGTTTTCCACCTGTGAATCCAAACAACTCCAGCGTGCTCTCTACCTTGTCGTGGTGCTCCTGCTTGCTGTAGATTGCTGACAACAGGCGGTAGCATTCAAGGCATCCGGTCTCTTCTGACACGATGTGGTTGGTCATCTTCTCAGCTTCTTTTGTCTGACCCATCACGGCCAAAACCTGAGCCTGCAAAACCACACTGAATTGGCTTAGGAGACACTGTTATCACCTCATCATATAAAGCATCTCTGAATAGAGGCTTTCCAGAAACACTCCAGAAAAAAATGCTTAGCGTCTATTTGCAACTCAGAGGGAGAATTCCCAGAGTTTACAGGTTTAAATTTTTGTTGTTTGTTTCTGTTTATTTCTTTAGGTATGTGCATGCATTGTGTGTGAATTCCAGGGACACCAAAGATATCAATGAAATGACTTGTGACTTTTTTAAAAAGTTGACTAAATATTTCAAAAAGAAATGATTTTTTTTTAAAATTTTACTTTATTATGTTATGTTAGTCACCACACAGCACATCATTAGTTTTTGATGTAATGTTCCATGATTCATTGTTTGCATATAACACCCAGTGCTCCATGCAATACGTGCCCTCCTTAATAAGCATCACTGGCTGTGGGTGGGAAAGAAATGATTTCTTATGGTTTCAACAGGACGCTGTGTTTATAACAAGATAACAAATTTGATTTATTGCAGATCTAAAGAAGAGTAGCAAAAATGCAAATTTCCAAAAATTGAAATTAAAAATATTACTGATTATTAATTTCTCAAATTTGAGAACCATACTATAGTTATGTTAGAGAACGTCCTTGTATGCTGAAGTATTTAGAAATAAAGGGCAAGGTGCCTGGGTGACTCAGTTGGTTAAGCGTCTGCCTTTCACTCAGGTCATAATCCCGGGGTCCTGGGATCGAGCCTCGTATTGGGCTCCAGCCTCGTATTGGGCTCCCTGCTCAGTGGGAAGGTGCTTCTCCCCCTGCTTGTGCTCTCTCTGTCAAATAAATAAATAAAATCTTTTAAAAAAATGAAATAAAGGGCATGAGATCTATAACTTTTACATGGCTTATGAAAAAATAAATGTATTAATAATATGCATTTGCACACATACATAAATATGCACATATGTACATATGTGGATGTGTACACACATATGTACATGATAAACAAATTCATCAAAGTGCTAAAAATGGATCTGGGCGAAAGGGGATATGGGAGCTATTTAGTATTCCTACAAATTTTTGTAAGTTTGAAATGATTTCCCAAACCACAACTTAAAAGTTTTTTGGTGTCTATGTCTTTGGTGAATGGCTCCCACACTGGTTATATGGATATTCAGAAAATGGATCCATCGTGGTGCTCTAGCTGCAATTCTGAGGCTTCTGACCCAGCTCCCTGCACTGCACACTGCGTGTCCTGCCTCATTTTCCTTAGCCAACGCACTCACCAGGGCCAGGCGGAGCTCCCTTTGAGAAGGCTGAAGTGCCGCAGCTTCCCGGTAAACCTGCAGGGCCTCGTCATAGCGGCCCGTGTTATAATACAGTGCTCCCAGAGGTGATAACAGCTCAGCTTTGCGTGCCACCTGCAGGGCCCTGAGTTTTGAGAAAGGTGAACTGAAATTCTCATAGGTACATTTCGAAAGCTTGAAACGCAGGTTTAGAGAGGACAGTCCGTGGTTTGAGACTCTGCTCCAACACGGTCTCTGTTTTTATAATCAAGAAGAACGTTTTTAAAAAGATCCCGATGCCACCCTCTGACTACAAGAATGTCTCCAGTGACCTATCAATATGGAAACTGAGCTCCAAGGATCTTTCCCACTGATGGTGACAGGCTGGTTCCCATGCGTGCAGTCTGGCCCCCGTATCCATTCTCCCAAAACTGCTATTTGCAGTTTGGGCTGCAGTCCACAGCCTCAGAAAACAATTCCAACCTTGGCTTAGCACCATGTTCTAACCAGCAGGCCTTTTTAAAGCCATTCCTGAGGATACCATTTAGTGTCTGGTATTATTCTTTGGAGGGGAGAATCTGTATTACCTGAATTGGCAAAACTGGTTAATATTCTAAGAGCATGTCTGTTCTGATTACATAAAAATTGGAAGGGCGACTATTAAGGTCTTTGGGCAACTTACAAAGTGGAGAAAAGGAGCTTTACCGTTTGTACCATTCTTCAGCCACACTGTTGTCTCCCAAGGACCTGTAGAGCCTCCCCAGATTCACCATGGCCACGTGATGACTTGGGCTGAGTGTGATGGCCTGTTGGTAATGGGCCACTGCCTTCTCTGGAGAGCCTGTAACCAGGGATGGTTGGTGAGAGCAGAGCATGCTTTAATTATACAATATACGAGGCTCTTCAATTTCTCTTCTGATGTATATCATTCTTCTTCATATCGCTGAATCATACAATCAATTATTCAGTTTGTAAATGAGCTTGCATTTTGGCTTCATCTCCTTGCCACTGCATAACTTTGGACCATTTTACTATTCGGTCCCACTTCCAAGGAAATTAATAATAAAAAAGCAATAAAAACTAAAATCTGTTTCTTTTATTATGTATAGCATTTTAGCCAAAGTGTTTTCTGGCAATTGCCCTAGCTAATATTATGTTTTGAGATCATAAGTGATTGTTATTTATACAAGATACTGTTACTTTTCATTATACGAAAATATAGAATAGGCTATTATAGAAAGAAAACTGTCCTGAAACAACTTCTAAGGGTTGCTCTCAATTACTCTACTGCAACATAGTAACTGAGGCACTGCTTTAAAGAAGCATGTATCAGCTAGATATTGAAAATCTTTTTTTAAAATCATACATTTTTGTTAAATAGTACTTATGTAATGGAACTTTATGTACTTCTTTTTTTCCTAAGATTTTATTTATTTATTTGAGAGAGAGAATGAGAGAGAAAGAGAGAGCACATGAGAGGGGGGAGAGTCAGAGGGAGAAGCAGACTCCCTGCTGAGCAGGGAGCTCGATGCGGAACTCGATCCCGGGACTCCAGGATCATGACCTGAGCTGAAGGCAGTCGCTTAACCAACTGAGCCACCCAGGTGCCCTATGTAATGGAACTTTAAAAAAATAATAATAATGCCACCTTGCATATTTTAATTAAATGATCTTTACAGATATTTTTAATACTATTTAGCTGCCTTTTTAAAAAGATTTTATTTATTTATTTATTTATTTATTTATGAGAGAGAGAGAGAGAGAGAGAGAGAGAGAGAGAGAGAGAGAGAGAGCTTGTGGGAAGAGGGGAAGAGCAGAGGGAGAGGAAGAAGCAGACTCTGCACTGAGCATGGAGCCCAATGTGGGGCTCAATCTCAAGACCCTGAGATCATGACCTGAGCCGAAATCAAGAGTCAGCTTCTTAACTGCCTGGGCCACCCAGGTGCCCCTATTTAGCTGCCCTTTGATACCCTTTAGCTGTGTCTTGGGATTTAAGAGCTATTAAAAAATAAATAAAAGTATTACTTTAGAGCTATAGACACTAAAGTGCAAAGTGCACTTAAGAGACCTGACAAAAATCCCAGGGCAACTGAGGACGAAGTCCAGAACTAGAATCAAGCCTCTGATGAGATCCCCAAAGAAGCTTCCTAGTGAAATTACATCTAAGTGACTGAACTGTAGAACGGTCTGAAGTTCTAGATGAAATGGAATGTTTATGACCTGCAGACACCTCCTCAAGTGCACCTTCTTTGAATGCATGTCTGCACCAAAATAGATTTTATGTCTGTATAGATCTATGTACAGGTCACTGGTAATAGGGAGAATTTCCTATTCATGTATTTTAATACATGAATACAAAGGGAGTGGTGGGAAGATATACAGGGTGGCCAGTGAGATTTTTAGGGGAGTAGCATCGTTTGTTGTTGAAGTAGAAGGAAGAGGGAAGACTAGACCAACAGGGGGTCTCTTCCAGTTTTTAGATCTTTTATGGCACCTCATGTATTAGTGTGTTGCTAATAAACCAGTAGGTGGCACTACAAAACAATTTTACATGCAAAAATAAGGGGCATTTCTTAGGAGTTTCGGAATGTAAATTTACATTCTATAAAACAGAAAAGTTTCAGATATGCTAGAAAATAAAAACCCCTTTGAGCATTCATATTGACAAAATAATTAAAACAGAATTTTATCACAAGGCATATAGTCTAAAAGTCAACAAGAACAGAATGGTGCTTTTGCATTAAATTCAATTACCTTTTGATTCTTTATAAGTATTCATAAAATGCCAACAGTAGATGGGACACAAATCATAAAGAAAAAAGAGTCCCTGCCCAGTAAAGTTTTGTATTAAATAAGATGGAGTAAGTATATTTTATTTAGCATACTATGACTACTGTCATATAAGAGTACTCTATCAATTTTAATAATATAGTGTCTGTAATGTACATCAAGTAAAGAATGATGGCACAATTCTGGAGGCTTTTTTTTAATCAGACATAAAGAAATATTTTCCATCTGCTGGTAACTAGATTCAGAGGCAAGCCCGGCATCATGGCCGAGGACCGTTTCATCATCATAGATTTATGGACTTGTCTAAATGATACTCAAAGGCCTACTACTTGTTAAATCAGCAAGTATCCTGATATCTGGAGAGTTTTCCTGAGCGCTATACGAACTGGATGGATTTTACTGAGCTGAGCTTGAAGACTTAGAGAAATGACAGCCCCACCATACAATAGGATGGTCAATGGTGTATTTCCTGCCAAGCCCAGTGAATGTTACTTTCTGAGACATCATTTGGGTGGCTGCCATTTTACTTGGTGGATAGAATTATCTCAACAGAACAGGTTCTCTTCAATTTCACTCACCAGTATCAACTAAGAAAACCCCATAGTTGTTGTGTAAGTCTGAGCTGTCTGGACAGTTCTTTATTCCAGCCTGGTATATCTCCTCAGCCTCCTTAAATCTCTCCTTTAAAAGAGAACAAAGGAAAATAAATGAGAAAGTTAAAAACAACAATAAACTGAACAATAGAATAGGAAAAGTAAAAACCAATTTCCTGAGCATCTACCATGCAATAGGCACCAAGATCAAACACTACATACTTTGAATTAAAGTCAGTGCTAATGGCACAAATTCCTACAGTTCATATCCACTCATATTTAGTTCCTCTAGGGCAAACAAGCAGATGTTTACTTAGAAGGGACATCTGGAAGGATTTGCCCTACAATTGGAAAAAGCCTCAAATGGTTGTTTGAATGGGATGCCCTCCACCCCAGTAACTCTCTGTGTGAAAATGAGTGATAAGACACATCCATAGAGGAGTATCTTCAGAGGTGACAATCGGACTGGGAGCCAGGGAGGCCTGGGACATCTGTGTTACAGCTGCACTTGGCATAGCTAACACTCTCTTTACACACACTGCATGGTTTATTTGGGGAGGTTTTTTAGGAAAGGAGAAGGAGACCGATGCCGATTACAGGAGGGATTGGCCTTGACAAATAATACTTCCAGATACAAATACCACCCAACTGTTTGCTCCTTCTTTTATTCAACCTGTGTTTTCCATCTCAGAGCCATACCCTCCAACAGGAATATATGTCTCTCCAAAGGCGGACCTCCAACTCCTACTATTGTGGCAAGACCCAGATCAACTGCCACATCTTCAAAAGGTCATTTCCTAATTGTCCTGCTCTTCTTCTAAACATTGGCTTTAGCACACTAGTAATTCTGAACTAGCTTTTAGGTACATTTTTCATAAGGTTACACTTTCTTTCACAATATAGAAGGTAAAACCTACTCAATGAATCAAAGCTACCCAGGTTCTAACAATTACTCACAAGTAAACAATTTCATAGTTTCCTGGTACTGCTGGGAAGATCAGGTAAAAGGAAATGATTGGGCATAAAGCACATAGCAACTTTTCCTTTAATATGCTCTGAGCGCGGGCATTTTCCATAATTTTATTGCATTTACTACTACTAAGCATTCAACCAGACACACACAAAGGGAATGTACAGCATCGATTTTGTCAGATGTGACACCTTTGGCTTATGAAGAAAAATGCACTGAGTGTTGTGCAATAAGCCAAGGAAGCTTCATTTGATTTGACCTAGAAAGGTAAAGACACCAGAAAGGCAAAGTGGAATGACCACTGCCCTCTCTATGAAGATTTGTTTATTTATTTGAGAGAGAGTGAGAAAGTGCACACGCATGCAAGCGTGAGTGGGGGAGGGGCAGAGGGAGAAAATTTTCAAGCAGACTCCGCACTGAGTGCAGAGCCTGATGCAGGGCTCGATCCTACAACCCTGAGATCATGCCCTGAGCTGAAACCAAGAGTTGGACACTTAACCGACTGAGCCTCCCAGGCACGCCTACAGCCATCTCTTTGAATCCACACATTTAAGTACCATTTAGGAAACAAGGTATGGTTTGAATTTGGCAAATTTCACTTATTTGAATTACAAATCCATAGTCCAGCAAAAATGGAGATTCATGTTTCTAAAAAGCATATGTATTTTTAAAAAAAGTATATGTATTTTTGATCGCCAAACAACAAATTGTCTAACTTAGAAAAATTAAAGATGAATGAAAATCTCAAAATCGTCTTTCAATCTATTAAAGGGAAGAAAAACTTTATGAAAATATCATCCACTGCAGGACCGACAAATTTGTCTGTGTTTAGAAATAGGCAGAACACAAATTTGTAAGACTCCACTCATATTAATAGCTACCAAATACCATTGCCTACTTACTCATTTATTCATTCACTCAGGACATGTTTATTGCAATGCTTATAAAAAGTATAGCATAGTGATTAAGCACTGGGCTGCCAGTGTGTGACTATATGGATTGGAATCCCAGTCCTACCATTTACTATCTATGTGACCTTACTTCTCTACATGCCCATTGTAAAATAGGATAACAGTAGTACCTATCTCATAGGGTTGTTGTGAGTATTAAATGATCAAAATACGTGAAGCACGTAGAACAAGGCTTTGCACATAGCACTTTGTCACGTTAGCCATAGTCTCATATGATCACTAGTTAGTGCTAGCATTACTACCTCTATCACTGGGAGATAGATACCAAAAACATGGAGATGAAGAAAACAAAATACCTCTATTTCAGGAGCTCAAAGACGAGTGAACTAACAAATATATGTAATCCAACGAGAGCACTGTTTTATTTTTTTTTTAAGATTTTATTTATTTATTTGAGAGAGAGAGAGAGAGCACAAGAGGGGGTAGAGTCAGAGGGAGAAGCAAACTCCCCGCTGAGCAGGGAGCCCGATGTGGGACTCAATCCTGGGACTCCGGGATCATGACCTGAGCCGAAGGCAGTTGCTTAACCGACTGAGCCACCCAGGCGCCCAAAAGCAGTGTTTTAAAAAAGTTAAGTACAAAAAAAAAAAAAAGTTAAGTACAGCTGCTCTTGAGCTCAGATGTCCTAGAGTTGTTCCTGTGACCATATCAGGTGTCGTGGCCCTGTCCAAGTGGCCAAGAGTCTCAAGTTCCTTTCTTACAAAAGCTCTTTACTTAGCATTATTTATTTTTTTAAAGATTTTATTTATTTATTTGACAGAGAGAGAGGGAACACAAGCAGGGGGAGTGGGAGAGGGAGAAGCAGGCTTCCCGCCGAGCAGGGAGCCTGATGCGGGCGGGGCCCAATCCCAGGACCCTGAGATCATGACACGAGCCGAAGGCACACGCTTAACCACTGAGCACCCAGGCACACCTTCACTTAGCTTTAAATGAGAAATAATTAACTAACCCAGGTGTTTTTCCTTTTAACTTTTCTTAACCATCTTCTGAAACAGAGGTCAATAAACACCTAATATCCTAGAGGCAACCAGAAAAAGAGTACCCTGGCTAATCCAAACCTGGGTGATCAGCTCCTAAAAATCCCAAGTTTCCTGTGTTACCATTCAACTCGTGTTACTGTTTGACTCCAATGCCACCTTTGTCTTAAAAGGATCAAAATTTCTAAGCCACATGGTACTTTTAAAATGTACTACCATAGTCATGGTAAGATCAAAACTTAAAAAACCCACCCAATTATTAAAAATACAATGGATGGGCGCCTGGGTGGCTCAGTCATTAGGTGTCTGCCTTCGGCTCGGTCATGGTCCCAGGGTCCTGGGATCGAGCCCCGCATTGGGCTCCCTGCTCGGCGGGAGGCCTGCTTCTCCCTCTCCTGCTCCCCCTGCTTGTGTTCCTGCTCTCACTGTCTCTCTCTGTCAAATAAATAAATAAAATCTTAAAAAAAAAAAAAATACAATGGATGAGATTTTCAGCAGAGGAAATAAAAGAATATTAGAGCTGGAAAGAACATTAATTTATATTTATAAGTAAATAAAAATATATAAATAACTTAAATATAAATAGACACTAATTTGCCACCATTTTTAACTAATGAAGAAACTTGGGCACAAAGTTGCTAAGAGACTTGCCCCACATCTCATAGCTACATGGGGACAGAGAACAGAATTTAGGTTTTTAGTGGACAGACAGGGAACTGAATAAGCCCTGAATAAAAGCAGGATTTCTGGAAATAATGGTGTCTCTGGCATCAAAAGAAACAATTATACTTTTGGATATCCATCTGTCCCCTCCACAAATATTTCGTGAGCACCACACACTTGCCAAGTCTATGGGGGAGACGGAAGAGTGAACAAGACAGACACAATCCTGCCATGACACAGTCGAGAGGGATCCAGACAGGAAGACGACATCACAATGTACTGTGACAGCGTCATGAGGGGAGAAGCACAAGGTACTTGGGGCAGCCAGGAGTGATGCCCAGACCTGGGGTGAGATGAAGTCTCTACACCTGTCATGATCCAAATGCCCAAGAATGCTGGCTGCCATTAACTCCAGCAGCTGCAGAACATAAAGATGTGCTTGAAAAAAATCCGTGGCAACTTTAGATCTTAGAAACATCACTTTGTAACTAAACTGTGGGAGAACTGAAAGGTGTTTTTCCTGAAAAGAATGAAACCGATGTCTTCACTTTCTAACTTGCTGAAGTCAAATAAAACCGTCAACATGGGTTTTCAAGGGCAATTCCTCCTTCACTTGATTTAATTTTACGTTCCCTCCCACCTTCTTGTTGCTCTCAAAGAGCCGAAGAGATCACCTTTTTCATCTAAAACTTCTCTTACTGGGGGCTTATGAGCTGGGTTTCCCCTAGAAATGCAATTTTCAAAGTCCAAAGAAGTAATGGGATTTCAAAGACCATGCGTGTCAAGAACAAGTGATGGTATCCGTGTGTCCTTGGTAACCCAAGGGCACTCTCAAGACTCGGGCTCTATGAAAAATGTCTTCTATATCTGTCTTTTCCTTTCGCTGGACTGTAAATTTCAAGGAATGATTAGCTCTCTCTACTTATTAAAAAATGAAACGGATCCACCACCACAGGAGAAAAATACCTTCTAGGTGTTTGTTTAAAATAAATTCCACCTTCTCTGGAAGGGAAATGCATTTATCTTAACAAGCAGTAGTCCTGAATCCCTGAAGCTCTATTTCAAGTACTCACTTTTTTATTTATCTCATCTGGCTAGATGTCCTGACCTAAGCTAATCATTCCTAGTCCCTACTGACTTGTGAGATCCAGAGGAAATGAATATAACCTATTTATAGGACAACTTTAATTAAAAATGGTGGTGACCAGAAAATGGCTATGACAAATAGTACTGTCTTCCATACACCAGAGACCCCAACAGCCACGGTCTCAGCATGAAATCGCTTTTGAGGGCGATGGTTAAAATGGGCAGCCTGCAACCATGGGCTCCTTCCTCTCCAAGGCTCAAGCATTTTCTGGAGGGTGGAAATAAAATGGGCCATGGGGGAGAGATAAAACATAGTCAACATCTCTACTTTCTACATGCTGTAATTACCCAACATGACATGCTTTTTACCTCAGGGAAGGAAATGTGAAGAGCAGATCTTTGGAAAAAGCAACTCGACTGT